AATAGATTTTTTGTTAATTGTTGATCTGTGACCAAAAAAGAAATTCCTCGACGAATGTCGGTAATGGGCGAATGGCCATAGTAGTCTTGCCCAACTCTTTGTGAAGAGCAAAGAAGAAGAGTTGTTGTTCGACGGCGTTGCGCGACGGACGCAAAGTGAAATAGTAAGAAGTCTGTACCTTGTTTTCGTGCTACCCACTTTAAAAAATTTTGGAATAGAGAAAAATTTTTGGGGTAAGTAGAGACAAAATATTACGTAATACTTGGTTCAAGAGGAACAGTTGGTACTACACCTTTGTTAATTAAGTATGGTTAAGTTTATTAAAATATTTGACTTAATTCGGTCTTTATATTTGATTGATATCAAAATAATTTTTTTCTACTACAGTCTGTAAAATGCCCAATTACGCGCCGATCTAGCGTATGCCACTTTAACACGTCAGTTTCGTTTCCCACGGATCCGAGCCACGTCGGACATTTCCGCTCCGCTCGTGTAAAATAACCTTGCGAGTCGAATGCCTTATATAGATAAATATAAATTAACCAAAAAAAAAAAACGATATATATAGCAATTTTGGTCCAGTAACAGTTTTCTTTTAATTTTATTACGTTATTGTTACTTATAAATAAACAAAGATCTGTATCTAATAATATGTCCGCATCAAAAGTCCAGATTTGACTATATACGCCACTCGATTCGCAATCCTTATACGCAACGCCCAATTAATGAAGAACTGAACTTCATATAATATGGGAAATTTTTGTAGCTAAAAAGATAGATGTTACTTATCCAAATCGAATCGTAAAATTTGTATGCCTTGCAAAAATTCGCATCTTGAATGTAAATAACAGTATATACAGTGAATCTGTCATAATTTCTTCTTGCGCATTTTTTGCAGGCAGGATATAGCAAATATACAGGGCTTGTCAAATAGTGGATGTTGACACCAAGTTCTTTTTTTTTTAATTGAACAATATTTTACGTAAATCCATTTTCGAATTCTGCCTAGCTCACCTATCTCTCACTTTATTCACTGGTAGATCTTGTAATGGGTGTTCCTGGCTATTTTGCGTTAAACAAATTACAAACTTCTCGAGTTCTCGGATTGTCTCCATATCCAGTAAAAATTAAAATTTCGTTACCGATTTTCTAAATTAAAAAAAAAAAAAACTATATTTTCCGTTTACTAGAAGATTAGTAAATGAATTTTGTTCCATATTTTAGCCGTTCACTGTATATATTTTCATTAAAAATCCCCTCTGTATATACCGAAAACGAAATAATGACTACCAAATAAAAACTTCGCAAAACTTCTTTTTTAGTGCGTTTGAATTTTTGCGATTTTAAAATAGAAAAAAGAGCGCGCGAATTAAAATATAATTTGTATTTCATACGCGCCCGGCCCGCTCGATCAAAGCGGTTCGCGAATTTCACCTGAATGACATCATAGGTTCGAATAGTTTTCGCGGACTTTTTTGATCGTCGAGGTATAACTCGTTGGCCGGCGGCTATTTTTGCAGCGATCTCGTTCGAATTCGCGTGTCCCCACCGCCTCCAGGGAAAAAAATCTATTGAATTTAATTTTTAGGTGCCTCTGATAAAATGCGTTTGATAATCCACAAGAAAAATAATATTTATTTCGCAGGAAAATAATACAGAAAATTTTCCTTGCCTTATGATATGAAATAAAATAACAAAACAAAATAAACTCTTTCTACGGCCCTCTATAAAATGCCTAATTACACAGTTCTGACGGTCATGTCGGTGAATGTATTCGTGTTGTTTTGAGAAAATGTATCTATTCTATGTTTATTAAACCTTTGGTCATCTAATTCCACCGAAATAGGAGGCAACAAAGGCTCTGTTAAAAGTTTTTGTGGTGTGTGATTTGTGGAAAATGACAGAAGAGCAAACAAAATGCAGTTTCAAGTTTAAAACATATACAGATTGGTCTGCAATTGTTCATTTCTCTTTTGCTACCTGCTCTGAAAACTGCACTTATTTTGGTTGTTTTTAACTCGTGCGTTCATATTTATATCTTTGGATAATTTAATAAATTTAAGCAGCAAATTTGTATAACACCATTGCAATTAATTTAAGTCAAACGGACATTAATTTGGTGCGATTGAATTTAGATAAGTTTAATACATTGTGCATTAAATTTCCCATTTATGTTCGGTATTTCAGTTATACAGGGTGTTCGGAAATTGAATTCGACTTGTCAAAAATTAAAAAATGGCATTAGCCAAGGCAATAACATATTTAATTTATGTAACATATAAATTCATTTAACATTATCGAAAATAAAAAATATATACAACTCTAATTACAATTAATTCATTTTCAAACATTTTCTTTTACATAAAAAAAAAATTATTTATCGTGAGTCATTGATATCTGTTATAGGTGTTTCATATACTAAAAAAAAAGTCCATCGGGTTAAGGTCTGGTGAGCGAGGCGGCCAAGCTAGAGGTCCGCCCCGACCTATCCGTTCCGCTGCGTTAAAAATTAAATTCAAAAAAATGGATTTTGGCAATATAAATAAGAACTAAAAGTTCAGATTTTCACGAAATTATATATTTTATATTTTGATTACATTTGATAAAGACACGGTGTTGTCGAAACAATTGTCTTGTGGAAATATATAATTTCTGGAAAATATGAACTTTTAGTTCTTATTTATTTTGATAAATCGATTTTCATCAAGTAAAAGCCACCTCAGTTCAATTTTGATAAGCCTTAACTGGAAAAAAAATCCGATTTCATTTTACCACGTTGAATCTTTCGTCGAAGTTTCCGAACTCAATTTCCGAACACCCTGTGTTAAATAAAATGTCTAATTTTTTTATTTGATTTTCCATTCGATCTTCACACCATTAGATTTTACATTTGATTTAACTTCCTACATCGGAATTTCCATGGTCGCACGAGGTTTCTGGGAAAATGTTCCCATCGCAGTTTTGCCCTGTTTGACCCGTTTCGAGAAGCTCCCGCGCGGAACAATCTGCAGAAAACTCAATGGGATTCGGATCGGGCCGCGAACGCGGCGCATCGGCGTCGATCCCCCTCTCCCGTTCCGCTGTTAAATCTCTTAAATAAATATATTAAATTATGATCAACAAAAGGCTACGGTGCCGATCGGTCGTCAGTTGAATCGGCGTTGCGGTTTGAGGCAGACGCGTGTGTGTGTGTGTGTGAGCGCGCGCTTGAAATGGGCCCTCGTTGCTAAACAACAATTGCGTTTTGTTTCCAACGTCCGAGGGGTGCCCGAGGTTATGTTATGGGGCCGTGAAAATTTGTGTTGTCGGGTGTGGTTTGTCGTTTTCAGTGTGTAAGTTTTTCATGACCTCTCAAAAAACTTAAAAATTGAACGATTTGAGTAACGTGTTTTTGATCTTGTGTTGTGTTTTTTTTTAAATTTGAAAACAATAAATAGGTCCGTGAATGCTTTGTTTTCAAGCTACGGAGCAGGCCGTCAAACAAATATCTCTAGACCTACGTCAAGTTTAGTTCTTATTCGTCATAGAAGATTAAAATCATTTGTGTCTACAACTCCATCATCGTTTAAGTTAAAAATCCATATTTTAACGTTTTTTTTTCTCTTGAGAGAGCCTGCGGGATGTTTTGTGTTTTGGATGGGGCCCATATATTTTAATAATAGTCCTGTGCCCTAATAAACGTTCCTGTTGTTCTCTACCGCCGATTTTCAAAAATTTACAAAAATTTACAAAAATTTTTACTTGTGTAATTAAAAAAACATATTTTTAAACTATTTTTTTGCGCATTTTTCGTCTGTAAGATTTTGTTCTAATAAATAATGATTCGTGAGCTGGCATTATTATTAAAATGTGATAAAAAACAATCGCAATAAAAAAACACTACAGGGTGTTCCGTTGTCGCTCGCGCGAACTTGTAATCACTTCCGCGTGTCGTAAACGCGTATAACGTTCTTGTAAAACGCAGTTTGGGAAATTACGTTTGGAGGAACCCGGCAACGTTGCCGGAATTGGCATTTGTTCCATATTCACAGTTAGATTTGGCTTGGAGCGTGTTAAATTCGTTTATAGTTTTCGTTTAGAGCGCCGTTTGAATGTGTTTTGCCATAATATTCGATTTTCGCAATTCGTTATTAAATTAAATTGCATTTATTTTGTGGCGTTTAAAACTTATTTGACAAATATATCACGGGAAATAATTATATTAGTTTCATCTTTTTCTAGCTCGCTTATCCGTTTATTCACAGCAGGTTTTGATATAAGGAATATATTTTTCTTCTCATCATGTCCAGAATCATTACGTTTTTTTCTTTAAGTCACTAATTCATTGCTATCAATACAGTTTATCGAGGTATCGGCGTTGTTGTAAGCAGGCAGCTGTCTTTTAAAGCGTCTTGTTTAATGAACTTATTAAACACATATTTGACTTTACACAAAGACGATAAACTACGATATACTTTGGCAACTCTGCCGCTAGTGACTCCGGGTTCTGCAGAAGTAAATCGCATCGTTACGGGGTGCGGTCAAAACGTACAACCCGCGATAACCGTATTCCGCGATGATTTGTTTACAAGTTCGACCGCGATTACATTTTTTGCGATCGCGACCTGGGCGAATCGAAAATAGAATCGCGCCTTTATCTATTAATCGATCCGCGTTTATCTCGAATACTTGTGCGGTGTCATGTTAACGAATTTTGTAGTTGAAAGCTGGGTGGTTGACGTGTAAGTTATTCGAGAACGGATGAGTTTCGCCGGGCGGCCCGAATGATCGGCTGAAAAATGATAAAAATGGGACACAGGAAAGAGCTGAACAGGTCGTGGCCACTCAAATCGAAAGCATCCACGCCGACCAACTGGTACGTAGTTTAACGGATACCGAACAACTCGCACTCTGGTTTTTATTTCTTGTTCGTTGACGGTCGACGGTACCGTAATATGTGCGGGCAAACTTTAAACTTCGACGCAAGTGCGGTCGTCTAAGATCGACGCTTTCCGTTTCAGGGAGGTGTACAACGCCATCTGCCTGCGATTAGGCGATACGTCACACATTCCTGAAGAATCCGTCCAGGCCCTCTTCAACGACATGCATCTGTTCCCGTCGGATACTCAAAGTAAGTCGCATCTCTGCGTTACGCGTTGACAACCCCAAGAAATTTTGAATCCTAAAAGTCATAGGACTAATATGAGCGAGCGCGTTGCCTCGCGATCGATGCAACCCGCAATACGCTCGTCTGCGATTGCTTCTATCCGACCGCAAAATACTATCTCGTACTAATCTCGTTTTAATAATGGAGAATTTTCTGCTACGCGTCGAGCTTCCCGATATCGAAACGTTTAGATGCACCGATTTAACCATAATCAAATCATAGTCAAACCTAATCGGTCGTCAGATCTGGCAACCGTGCGCTGTAAACAAAAGAAACTCGAGCGCGATCGATATGTTAACCTCAAAGCTGTTTATTTTGAAATGTTACCACAAAATTAAGACGTCCTGATCGTTCAAACGGCGCTTGCAGTTTCGAAGATGCTTCAGTGCGCGAGACAGTACAGCCGCCGAAATGGGGCCAGCCAAAACTACCTTACCTTCGGTGAATTTTGCTTCTTCATCCGCGAGATGCGAAACCAAGGCCCCAAATCGTACAAGAAGCCGTTGTCGCAGCAGAAGGCGAACAACAGTAAGTCGTCCGCCCGTTTAAACGTACGAAACGGCCTCGGAGTTTAACGCGAAACCTTTTTTAAAGAGTGCCTAAGTAACAAGTGTGAAGTGTTCCTGGGCGGATCTTGTAACCCGACCACCTGGAGGGCGGACACCGCGATACCCGAACTGCAGAAACACGGAATATCGTTTTACAATCCTGTAAGGTTCGCCCCGCCTTTTGTCGGAGGGTTTCGTTTTTTCACGGGGGGGATGATATATTTTAGCAAGTGTCAATATGGGCCCCCGAATTGTTGGCGCAGGAACACGACGCGAAGCAATCGGCATCGGTGTTGCTGTTCATGATCGACAGTCAGACGCGGAGCACCGTTGGAATGGTGGAAGTAGCCTATTTGGTAGCTAGCGGACGATGTGTTATTGTGGTAGCACAGCCCTACAGGATAGGACAAAGTATTATGGGTGAAATTATAAGCGATAAGTGAGTACTCCATGGGCAGAGTTCTTTTGTTACTAGATCAGCCGCACTAGCAAATCGCTTTTCGGACCAACTTGACTGCTTCCAGGGTACAAAAGTATTTAAGAAAGAAGTAAAAATACTGTCAGTGAAACTGTCCGGTTGTCAGACTTCTGAATACTATTGTATAACAATGTATTGATGCTTTTGCTACTGTTATATGTGTTTTTACTGTCGTGTCGACTCCTATATTAATATTTTGAAAAACCAATGTTTGTCATACTAGAGTTGAGTCTTTATCTGTCCATTTCATTCTGTTTTGTATTTGTTTTATTTTATTTGGCCGGTTGGCCCGTTGATAAATAAATAAATAAATAAAATTTACCAAATTAAGTACCAAACCTTAGGTTAATAGATAGAAAAATGGGATTATATTCGGAATTCTTTTTTATTGTCTAATTTGAGCTGTAGGTTAGGAGACCAAAAAAATGTGTCTCATAAATAATTTTAAGTTAGTGGACCGAAAAATTTTTAGAATTCTTTTTTAACACACAAAAATACATAACGCTTTGTCACATTGTCGGCTACAAAACGCCCTGCAATGATTCCTGCACAACTAAAAACGCCAAGGAAGGCTCAAGTTATTATTACTCGGAGTGACCGGCCTTTTGCACGTTTGCCGCTGCAGTAGTTCTAACGTCCCGCACCGTTTTACCGAATTAACTCCCAAACCTTAGGTTAATAGATAGAAAAATGGGATTTATAACCAATGGAAATTATATTCGGCATTCTTTGTAAAAATTCTTTTTTACTGTCTAATTTGAGCTGTAGGTTAGGAGACCAAAAAAATGTGTCTAATAAACCCAACCTTTAAGTTAGGGGACCCAAAAAAAATTTTAGCATTCTTTCTCGATACGGAAAAATACATAACGCTTTGTCACTTTGTCGGCTACAAAACACCGTAAAATAATCCTTGCGCAACTAAAAACGCCAAGGAAGGCTCAAGGACTCGGAGTGACCGTCCTTTTGCACGTTTGCCGATGCAGTAGTTCTAACGTCCCGTACCGTTTCAGGGAATACTACGACCTGGTCGAGGGCCAAAAGAGTTTGCTGGATTTGGTTAGGTCGCGGGGAGTACAAATACATACTAGTCTTTCGACGGCGCTTCAATGCACTGCGAAAATTTTGAGGAACGTCACGTTGAACGAGACGAGCGCCGAGGATCAGCTGACTTACAAGCTCAGGTAGGTGATTAGATCCCGAATAATAGTATCGTCCCGGACTAAATAAAAATCCTCAGGTTCCTGAGGGAGGTTTACGATTCGTACGGGGGAGAGATGCAGCTGTACGACGTGCGAGACGCCTACAGGAAAATCACCAATGGTTCGGTGGACGACACGAAGCTGCGCAACTACTGCAACTCGAGGCCCAACACGCGCATAACCTTCGAGCAGTTTTGCGCACTGATGGCGGAACTGTCGACTGACGGCTGCCGAATGTGCACCACCGACGGTAGATTCCATTCTATTAGCTCGTTGTGCTGGTCCTGCACACTTTTGAAGACGCGTTACATGGTCGATTCGGTACTCGTCAAACCGCTCACTAACGCCATAGGTATTTGCTCCGATTTTGACACCGTTTCCTCGCTTGTTGCATTATGATTTTGGTTCGAGCACCTTGTTTTGAGTTTTCAAAAGTGTTGCGAGATTAATTCTGTGTGGTCCGATGGCGTTCACGAGACACCACTGGCGAAAATTGAAAGGTTCTCGAGCGTATTTTATCTTCCGATCAAAGAAAAAGTTGACAAAATTGCTGCAACATATTAAATTTATAAATAAAATTCGGCTAATAAGATAGACCGCTACAATTTTCTAAATTCTGTTATATAAATTATAAAATATTGCTCTTTCCAAAAATAATAACATTGGTTACTATTTTTGTCGCCTATAAAGAAAAGCGACAAATTTTAAACCCATTTTAAAAATATTTTTTGAAAGTTGTGCAAAATCGATTAAGATAAAATATAAAAAATATATAAATATATATAAAATAATAAATATATTTGTTCTGCATTAGGTTTGAAAACTTGCTCACCGATTTTACGAACGACATTAGAAAACACCTATTAAACCTAAACTTCAAGATAACCGCTTTGAGAATTCTCCTGCGCCTTCGCCAAATTTGTGGACGGGCTCGTTAAACGCCCGAGGTTTTCGTAAACATTGTCGCACTTTTATTTTATTGCACGTCGCACTGTGGGGTAAATTTCTCAATCTAGCACCCAAAATTTCCACTGTTTAAAGAAATATTTCACGTTTGCAATGGTCGTGTAGAAATTTATTTAAATAAGAATAAAAAGACATTTTGAAAAAAAATCTAACTGATTTACTATTTTTCAAAAAATGTTATTCTCCGGTTTTGCGTCTCACAAATAAATCATTATTTTTTAAAGGTTTCCTCTTTGTTTTAATAATCAATATACAATATACTCTGTGATATATATACATGTTTATTATTTATACATGTCACATAAATTTTGCAAGATATAAATATACTTTTTACTTTTTCAAAGTACGTTTCACATGTAGATAAAATTTGTGAAATGTCCATAAAATTTTTACCATATTACTGAGTAAATAATTTTATGTGTCTCTTAATTTTATAGTTACTATCGTCAGTTTTTATCTTCATCATTATTGCGCAGTTCCTGAACAATTTCCGTAACACCGAAGTTAGGACTCTCTATAAGCAAATCGTTATCAATAGAAGCGAATTTATCCAAATCTAAAATTTCATTACAAACTTCTGGAAAGAGTTGGGCAAGTCGTATCTTTGTATCTTATTGAAAAATATCTCTTTATTGTAGCCGAAGACACCTTTTTACAAGCAGTTGTCCATACAAGGGGCATCGGTTAAATTTAATTTTTTTTTTTCGAAATTTCAAAATCACATTCACTGTGGTCTATAAATGTTTGAAGTCTTTTGATGAAAAAATTTTGATAAAAGTCAATTTTAAATTCTGAATCGTTCCTTGATCTAAGGGTTGACAATGCGAAGTAGTGTTTGACCGCAGGACAATGTGATCATTTGTTAATAAAAATTATTAGCAAGCTACAGTAAAAAATTTAGCATGTTGCTCATCACTTTTTATAAATAAATAATAGATACAACTTTGAGGGGGTGGCCACTCTATACCAAACCTATTTGTCTGTAGGCCAAGTTTAATTTCAAATTATATATTTCAATATCTATAGATTTAACTAAAAACCAAACTGTTGCGGATCATTTTGGTATGGTAACTAAATTGACATGATTTTATACCTGCGCGTATAGTTAGCTACCTAATGAAATGAAACGATTTCCAAAGAATCAGCTTCTTGCTTATCATTTTGAAAAAAGGTCCAGGGCTCCCGGACTATTTCTATTTTGTTATTTAATTTTATTGTCAAATATGTCAGTCATCTTGTCATAATTTCTGTTGTCATCCACACTTTCTTGTTGGAAACCCGTTCTACGGGTAATTTGTTAACTCACCGAGGATTTTTTTTTCCTAATATGTATTTATGAATCTTCTCTCTCACCTTGCATATTAGCACACGGTAAAGTAGTTAATCGTTGTTTTGCTATCTTCTTCCCCGTATATTTCTCGGTTTTTAATGCGAAAGTCTTATTTGGCATCTCACGATAATTCTGTGGAGAGTAAACCCTTTAAAATCAACGGTAATTTGGTTCTCCAGGCCTCTAAATCCTCCAAAGTGACTTCCGCAAACTCGGCAACTTTGCGATCATCCATTGGAGGCTGTAAAATTTCCCATTATCAAACTGCCTGTTGCTTCCAACGCTGCTTGTTTAAGCTGCCGGCTAGATATTTGAATGGTTGCCAAGCCCTTCGGACTTTGCAAATTTTCGCCTATGGCAAGTTGATACCTTGCTCAACCATCGTCTTTAATTCATCCTTATTTCTCGTTTCCCAACACTATATTTTTCGCGAAGTCGATAAACACTTACTAATTCTATCCTGTAATTGGAAAACTACGTTTTGCGAGGTGTACAAAATGTAATTTTGTGTAATTGCATAATAAATAGTGGTACCAAATTGTGGGGCCTATGTCTACAGGTAGTAAATTTCTATTATGGTGGGTCGTAAAAATTTGAATTTCTCTGCAATTTTATATTTTATTTTTTATTTTATTTTTATATTTTATTTATATTATATTTTATTTTATTTATTTTATATATAGGGAATTTCCTTATAATTGATTCGGCAAACTTCAATACTGTGCGCTAATTCGGGTGGCTTTTTTAGCCCCACTAGGAATTTTTTGATGAAATTTTCATGTCGATTCCCTAAAAAATTATACCTGGAAACCAGACAATTGGCAATACGTATATAGTTCTCGGGTGCCGGTTTGAGAGATTTGACCGCAGTGGTGGGCGATATTTAAACGGTGGGGGGGCCGTTATGTTTTTCGCAGCATGGGCCACGCAGTCGTTTCAGCGCCAGTGCTCAACCAACAACAACAACAACCCATCTAATTGCATTGTGGAGCAAGCGCGGGCGCCGCCGCCCCCCGCGGCGGGGTCACGCGGTTACGACGTGTTTTTGGGGGGCAGCCTGTCCACGGGTACGAAATGGAGGGACGAGATTGCGGTGCCCGTCCTCGCCAGGCACCACTTGGAGTATTACAACCCGGCGGTCAGGTGAGCTATAGGAAACGTGGGGCCCCTCGGAAAAAGAAAAATCAGTTAGGAAAAAAAACAAATCGGCACTTAAAAACCTTTTACAATATTTTCAAATTACTGCAACGCCTCCGTAAATGTTAAAGTTGATATTTACTATAGAAATAAAAAAAATATTTTTATCCCAAGGAAATTTTATTTTTCCTATATGTTTATAATAAAAAAAAACAATTAGTCATCATCAAATGTGACTGCACTAAAAGCAATTAAAAAAAACTCACAAGCGGCCAATATGAACAAAACTACAAAAGAAAGATCTACGGGGTGTCCTATTATAAATTACTAAATGGATATTGATTGATAGTTATGTTTAAATTACGAAAGTTGGAGCAAAACAAAAATTTTATCTGAAAATTGAATACCCTGTATTTGAATGTGCATGTGATTTCAAATGTATATGAGTTGTTTGGGTTATTCTTGACAAATTTTGAAATATCGTCGCGGCGTTTTATCTAATATTGGATGTAAGGATGTCAAAAATCAAATTAGCCTTAAAGACTAAATTAAATATAGCATCTTCTATCTTTCCACCTACTATAAGTGTTATAAAATGTTTTATTAGATGGAATTACTATGTAGTAGTCGCAGCAGTAGCCTTTTCCGCTCGGATAACTACCATTTTAATATATAATTTTCTTACATTCAATATTAGATAAAAAAATCTGCCAAAAATAAATAACCCAGCCGCCAATATATATTTGAAACTAGGAGGAAAATGCACTTTCATTCATAAAATTCAATGGCAGAAATAAATCGGAAGGAAAAATGCTCCAACTTTCGTTCATATATAGGGGCGCAAGTTAAAGTGAAAAAATTGTCGCCGCAGGGAATTGAACGGCTCGTCGTCGTCAGCGGCGTCGGAACGCAATGGCTGGGAGTCGAGCGTCGCCGAGTGGAAAGGTACGATAGATCGGTGCAAGGTGGCGCTGTTCGTGATAACGAGCGACACGCGGTCGCTGACGTCGATGATCCTCGCCGCTCATTACATCGGCAGCGGCAAAGAGGTGGTGCTCTGCGTGCAGCAGCTGCCGATGGAGGGTTGTGTCGTCGCTAACGAGACGGTGAGCGATTTTTTTGTCGGCGTAAGTTGTTTCCGAAAATTACAAAGAAATATTCGTACAATATGAAAAGAATAACATTTTTAAGTTTTATAATTTAAATCGCCAATTTTATTTCGAATCTTTTTTTTGTCACATACTGTCTTCCTATTTGTTTTGTCGTCATGGTGATTTTCAAAAAATTATCCGAAGAGTTCTGGTTTTAAAACTCTAAAACTTCAGGAAATGCGTATTGGCATTTGTTGTTTCATTGGTCTATTTTATTGGTTTATTGTTTATCATATGTTTATTGTTTTTTTTTTTGCCTTGTTTCGGAACTTTCTGAAGAGTCTTTAAATTGTTTATTAATTTTTCTTTTGTTGCAAAATCGGACGATTCGACTTTGCACTAGACTTGTAAATTTTAATTGGATTTCAGTTTGGGTTAGTTTTTGGTGAAATATTGATTTATTTATTATTTCAACTTACAGTCAGTCTCAAGGCGCAACTACAAGCAACAGCAAATATCTTAAAATCGGAAAGAGATACAGGAATCTAAAACAGTGAATAATATTCAGGAATAAATTTTGTAATAATTTTGCAATCAAAGCTTTTGCATTTCAACAGACTGATAATTTACAACATTTACAACAGTAATATGGGAACAAAGTATTAAACTATCATGTAATTAATCAAATCGATCTGGAAACAAAAACAAAAAACTAGGTTAGGGTTAGGTTCTTCTTCTTCCTTTTTACTGACGGGGACCGTTTTTCACTACCGTTTCAGCTTACGAAGAACGCGGTAAAAGACTACAACCGCGCGAGGGCTTATCTCAGAGACGTGGCGGAACGTAGACAGGTGCCCGTCTACGACGACGTCGCGGACGCCGCGGAGGCGGCCGCGAAACGGGCGGCGTCCTTATAATAAATTTCGACCGCCGCCTCGGTTGCGGGGGCAGCTCTCTCTTCCGTATTTTTACGCGTTCCGACGATTCCAAGTACGCTTTTTCCCTTTTCCCTATACATAATCTATTTATTTATTCCAACGCGTTAGGGATGGGGCGGGGTGGGGTGGGGGGACCCTATCCGTCCGGGCCCCCGCTTTTACCCGGGGCCCGGACGGCGCGGCAACTATTTTTTTTTCCACGTTTTTTAGCGCTTTAAAATCCGTTTACACGTTTACTTATTTATTTTATATACATTCATATATTTTCTTATACATACAGTGTGTGGGTTGTTACGTACCTACGTTTTTTTTTTTCTTGTTAGTGGGGCGGGACCGCGTCTACATTGTGCGACGCGACGTCTTTGTTTTTTTTTTCGTTTTTAACTAATTACTTAAACATATTACGTTACTACTGTTCGCGTGTTTTAGGAAAGCCGTGGTGTATTTAAAATATCACAGATAAGAGAGCAATTCGCCGCTCTGGTCCATGGTCGGGATTGACATTTAGGCGTTATCTATTTCGTAGGGTTTTTTTTATTTTTTAATACGTCAGCCGAGATTATCTCCATGGTAGTGATGTCTATATGAATAAAGGGAAAACGAAAAAGCGCGCGTCGCGGTATTTAGTGATATTACACGTTCGAAAGCAAACATCACAGTAGGCGAATCACACATCGTTTTTTAAGTTGATAGGCAGCGTGTTAGTATTCTTTGACGTTTGAGCCGTCAAAGTGCGTACTTAAGGTTCCGTCGATTGTTCCCTCTGTAGCGCGCAAACGTTTGTTTTTCGCCGTTTTTTCCGGGTTCGTATACGGGGTGACGTCTTTTATTAAAATTTATATACGGTGTACGTTGTCGTACGGGGTGTCCAAATTTTTGGACTTTTTCCCTGCGCGAGGTGTGGCAAAGGACAAGTTTTTGCGTCTTTTTTGTTACTCGTTTATAATGGTGTTAATGGTGCGAAGCAGGAAACTCGTAGCAATTTTCGAAGCCACGACTAAAAAATTTTACACTGAAACGAAAGTGGTAAAAACGGTAATTTTTATTCAAAAATCGACTTGAAGCTTCGTCTGTCTTTAATAAATAATAAAAGATTCGTAGGAGCTGAAAATTTTGAAATTTTTTAAATTCCGCTTCTGTCCCGTAATTCAGAAATTCAATTTTGCCTTGTACGAAAAAACCGATTTCTCCCTTTCCCCCGATCCTCCATGACGGAAAGGTCGAAAAAAATGGACACTCTGTGCGGGTCGCAATAATATCATTCGTGGGCGGGATGTGGCGCGCCTCCGGCTCAAAGTCGTAGATTTACTCGGTTTTACCCAAACCCAGATAAACATCTGCGAGTCGGGCTCGGGAGGTCGCGTCCTCATTAAAGGAAAAAGTTTTTTTAGGGGTTCCCTATTCGGCGCTTTTTGCTCTGCCGTTTTATCCGATTTGACTCCGAGCGTTTTTTTAAATGGCGTCCGGCGTTGTTGTTTTTTTTTACGAGAATCCGTGTGGGGAGCGGGGTCTCTGTGGTCTGTAGTGCTGCTATCGGAATGCATAGTACCTGAATTATATAAAAGAAGTTGGAGAACGGTTCATTTTGTTTTGTAAATATAGGCGTGTGTGCGTGTATGTGGAGGAGATCGGGCCGCGGCCGGCCCGCAGCGGGACGCGTAATTTATATTTAGCCTTGTCGTTTAAATAAATCTAAAAAAAATATATAACAATCAAAGGAAGTTAAAATTAACAGAATCTCTCTCAGTCTCCTTACTAATACGGTAAACTAATGAAGGCGTTTTTGTTATGCTTAGCGTTAGGAATTGGATAATATTTTTATAGAATGTTCGGAGCGGCAAAACACTAGGCAAATTTGTTGTCGTCTCCCTATCGGTTCGACGAGATCGAGGGCCAAATTTAATATACCGAAAAGTAGTTGTAGGTTAGTAGCTAATTTTACCGTGTATTTTTAGCGTAGACTTATTCTAATTGTTGTAATTTATTTCTCTTTTTTTTAATGTCATAATAAAGTAACTAAAAGCATTTGCGCCGTCTGTTTGTTTTCTACCCGTTTTTACGCTGACGCATTGATTTTCTTCTGCGGGATGTAGGACGGGTGACGTACGCGGACGAGCAGACTGCGTCGCCCGCTCGAGCTTTGAAGGACTATATTTTTTTCAAGTTGGCTTTGCCGAAGAAGTCACTGCCGTTTTCGAGAATTCTCGAATACGTTTTGTTTATAGTATTGTTATTATAGCGGGGACTCGGTTTAGTATTCGATGTTTTTACGAAAATTGAGTACCCGGTCGTTGCGTAATGAGAACTTTGCAGAGTGACGCGTAATCGAAAATGCAGGTGAGTGTATAATTGCATTAAATAATCTCTAAACCTTTTCAGTAATTTCACTTTACTTCCGAGTGCAAATTCCCGGTATTTCTCCTTTTATTTAAATCGGTTTCAATTTTCACGGCGATCGCTTCTTTTGCATACCGCTGCTCCTGGAATTTTTAATATATAGGGAGGACATAGTACATAACCTAGTATTTTAGACATGATTTAGTCTGCGAAGATGGACGGTTTCGTGGAAATTTTGAGCGATTCGTCGGATTCCAGCAAAACCGTGGACATTGACGACGAAGTGATTAGTAAATTTGTATCGCCTTTTAGCGAAACACAGCAAGCGGCGGGTTCCCATATCAAAGACAAGAGGTTTTATGAATTGGACCTCTCCGATGACGATTTTATATACGAGCCAGTCGAAAGCGAAGTTAAGGAAGACGTTCGATCGGAGTTTGCTATCGACGACTTTACCGATAATGTGGATGACGTGTTGAATAGGTCAAGTCGCACCAATTCTCAGCATTCTTCGAATGGAGGTGGTAGTCAACATGAGTACTGCGGTGCAGGCGTGGAAAACAACTTGAGTTCGCAACAGATTTCAAGTATGGAATCTAAAATGTGGTGTGTTACAAAACAAGGTATTCTTTTAGAACCTCGAAAGAAAAATAGAAAGAAACTGGCCTCGCTTGAGAAGGGAAGGCTATTAGCAGAAAAGGAGTTGCGAAAGGCGGAAAAAATTAAAGAAAGAGAACGAAAAAAAGAGCAAAAGGAACAAGAGCGGGCAATGAAAAAAGCTGCAAGAGTGATAGAAACATGCATTAAACCCGATCAATGTGGCCAGGTGAATAAGTCAATTATCTTGTTTCGATTTGTGCATTTTAGTGTAGCTTTTAGTACATTACGGCCGAGATAGATGAAAATTTATCAAAGAAAAGTTATGGACCTGCTATTGTAGCCGCTTTGACCACTGGTGGGTATAAATATGTTATTGACAGACAATCAGTTCCAAACGGTATTAGGTGGATTAGAAACGTACCGGGGTTAAATGATTCTGTTCAAAATGAAAAATATTATCTTCTCGTGCTTGACCTGTCGGAATTTTTGGAATTGGTAGTGGACCGGACTTTGGTTGGTCATGTCCACTCTCTTTTGGCTCTCCCTAATATAAGGCACGTCACTATTGCTGTGCTCAACCTGGATAAGTATTACTCACAGCTCAAAGCTGAGCAGAATCGGGAGTTTAAAGCAGCCATTTTGGGATCCCAGACGATCCGCAATCCAGTGTTGCCCCAGGTTAATCGTAAGGACTTGGAGCTGGCGTTGGTCGAGTTGCAAGTGTTGTGCCGAAACTGTTACTTTAAATCAGTAAACAGTTATGAGGAGCTAGGCATTTTCGTCGCAGAATGTACCAAAGCGGTCTCGCAAGCGCCTTACAAGTGAGCTTCTGATTTTATTGTGACCATAGGTTTTAGTGTTTACTCGGTGTAGGGCCGAAAAGGCACGAAAGATACAACAGGAGGATGAGTTTTTGGAAGGTCACAATAGAGACTGCGTCAAGGTGGACGCGAACGGGAACGGTTTAAGGAGGCTGTGGGGTCAAGTGTTGAAAATGTTCCCGTTGGCGAGTTTGGAAACATCAGAAGCCATCATGTCCCATTATCCGACACTGAACTCTTTGTTGAAGGTAACTGTGTAGAATTTTTCGACGTGAGTCAGTTTATCTGTTTCAGGCATACGAGAGTTGCGAAACGCGCGAGGCCAAGGAGAAGTTGCTTCAAGATATTCCTGTTCGTCGCAATGCTGGTTCTATAACAGCGGCCAGAAAAATTGGTCCAGAGTTGAGCAGAAGAGCATATATCTTTTTCTGTCACGAAAGTAATCTGGAAATATGAATTACCAATTTTTTGTATTTGATAAATAAAATTATCTTAAATGTATATAAACTCATTTTTCATCACTTCCCAGGAATTTGCGATTCAAATTTAAGGACGGAATGTGATCTATTCGCAAAACGTGGAACTAATTAGTTATTTCGTCTTTATTAGCGACATCTGTCGGTAATACCCGCTTTGTTTGGTTAGGTTTAGCTGCCCTCTAGCGACAGCACGCCAGACTACAGAGCTCCGTACTTCGCCGAGAGATGGCGCTTATTTCTTGAACTCGGCGTCATCTGCTGATGATAGTCAGAACTAAATAGTTTAGTGGCTCCCCAAGAGATGTCGCTTTGCTTGAAAAATCAAGTTACGCGCTATCTGGTGGCAGTATGCTACACCAAAGAGTTTCGCACTTCGCGCAAAATTTCCTGAAATTCGTTTGCGCACCGATAAATGGTGCTGATTTCTTGGAATCGCAGTAACGAGCGAACCAACTGGTATCAAGGGTTAGCAACAGATGGCGCTTTACATCGAGAAATCGATTTATGCAACCTGTGATGCCTTAAGAATTTCACGTTTTACCAATAGATGGCACAATCTTTATTTAAATTTACGAAATATCCATCTCCCCTAATCGCTATTTGCAATCGTATCTATGAATAAAACGCAATAGCTTCACTTGTAATTAATCATTACAAAATATATATGCGGGACTCTGACAGAACAATAGCCCTGATTGTTTTGAATGTAAGGAAGCTGGTCAATCCTCAAAACTGCCCAGCAACGGCAACATCGCGAGCACCGTAAAAAAAGGTTGCCTGCAAAAAAGGGATCTTCGCTGCCGACCCTTAAGAGAGACCACGGGACGCTGGGTCTCGACATTACAACCCGTGCTAGCAAACGTTAAGCTTCGTTATTCATTTTCATGTTTTTTTTCCTTTGTTTGTTAGTTGTAAAAGTTTGTTAAGTTGTAAAAGTTAAAAAATAAAGTTATCGAAAAATACAGTCCACTCAATCGAACAAGAATCAGCCCAGCAAATAACGTGGACCCACCAGAAGCAAGTGTGACATTGCTTTGGGACTCATTGCTCTATTTTTCTCTAATAATTTCCACATTAAAGACATTAAGGGTTCCATCACAAAATACACTTCACCACAACTGTCCAATAGCAATGCGTCCGAAAGCAATCCCACAATTGCTTCCTTACATTCAAAAAAACACTGACCACATCTCAAAAGTTCTTAAGAAATATAACGTCAAAACCAGATTTGCCACTTGTCCAAAAATCTCTAAACATCTTCGACAAAAATTTCATTTGAGATGCCAGGAGTTTACAGCATTCCATGCACATGCGGCAAAGAATACATTGGCTAGACCAGATGAAAAATATCAACTAGGCTCAAAGAATGTGGAAAAGCTTTAAATATCAGTAAGTGTCAAGCACAATCAGGAAACCGGACATGACATAAGATTCTATTAGATAAAACTAACCAATGGAAAATCCGAGAATCTATAGTCTTTACCCGTCATGGGAATTAGTCATCCTAAACAATGACGAAAAATAACATCATTTAGCTCCTGCCCCCTCAAACAATATATTATAAGCAGATACATAGTAAAATGTGAACCAGTTTCGGTTAAGCTCTGAAGAAATCAAAAGGATGATTTGCAAAACGTTAGCAAATTCAACTGCGATGTTTCATTGCTGCTTTACTATATTTGAGCACTTTAAGACTTGCTTGATGGATTGTGGAGCTGCTCGCTCCTTGCTTTCACCATTCTTTCACTATATTCTTAGCTTAAGACACTTACTAAACTTACTCAATGTTTTTCTGCAATCTATGAATACACCTAGGTCATCTTCTTTAAGTTGTGTACTCTGCAACAATGAAAATATCTTTAAAATTTTGTACTTCGAGTAGGTTAACCATTTGGATGCGGCAATAAATAAATATTTTCGTTATTCCTCCCAAAGAATAGAATTTACATCATTTACAAACGTTAAGGTTATACCTTGCAGCATAAAAAACAAATTGGATATACATGACCATAGATGAAAAACGTTGGAACTGTACCGAAATACTTATTGGGTAGCTGGCCTGAAAAAAGCGAAAGGACGATTGGCAAGCAGGCTCACCAACAAGCAACTAACCAAAAGTCTCTAGAATCGACGAACCGCGTGGCCGTTTCTTTTTGCTATCGACTCCTCCAGAAAATGGCTACTACAATATCAAAAAAGCGTAAATTTGTGGGAGACGGCGTTTTCAAAGCCGAACTCAACGAGTTTTTGACAAGGGAGCTATCAGAAGATGGATACTCAGGTGTAGAAGTCCGCGTTACTCCTACACGCACGGAAATCATCATAATGGCTACGAGAACCGATCGGGTTTTGGGTGAGAAAAACCGAAGAATACGTGAATTGACTTCCGTCGTGCAGAAGCGTTTTAATTTCCCCGAAAACTCTGTCGTGCTGTACGGAGAAAAAGTAGCGAACCGCGGCTTGTGCGCCATTGCCCAGGCAGAATCTTTGAGGTTCAAATTGATTGGAGGCTTAGCTGTCCGAAGAGCTTGTTATGGTGTGCTCCGTTACATTATGGAATGCGGAGCTAAGGGTTAGTGGTGAGATGTATTGTTGGTTATGTCTTTTTCATTGGAGCTTTGTGGTTTTTAGGTTGCGAGGTTGTAGTTTCTGGAAAACTTAGAGGTCAGAGAGCCAAATCTATGAAATTCGTAGATGGTTTGATGATTCACTCCGGCGACCCCTGCAATGACTATGTCGACACTGCAACCCGGCATGTGTTGCTCAGACAGGGTGTCTTGGGAATTAAGGTAATAATTTCAACTTTTTAAATATGAAAAAGTCCGCACTATGTCCTACTTTCAGGTGAAAATCATGTTGCCCTATGACGCAACCGGTAAGATCGGCCCCAAGAAGCCATTGCCTGACAATGTGTCGGTTGTCGAGCCGAAAGAGGAAATTCTGCCAGCTTACCCGAGTTCGGAAATTAAAGCTGTGAAATTGGACGCTCCCCCTGCGATACCAGTTGCAGTGGCGTAGGCCTTATATTATGTATAATTTCTAAATAAACCATTTGTGAAGATTTGTTTGTTTCTACTTGGTCCATAAAATCATCCCATTTGCAGAGTCTAATATAAACAATTAAAATTAATTTATAGCGTTTTGAGGCCTTTACATTAATTTTGAGGTTAAAAATTACTTCTTAAATATTTGGCGAAAGCACCAATTAAAAAACATCGATGCAATTACAAGTTTTATCTATAAAAAAATTTGCAGTCTCATTAGTCATCATTATCGCATAACAGGGCATATTTCTGTAATTGGATAAGTAAATTTTAAAGTTTATAACAATACGTTATTTAATAAGTCGACAGAATTACACTTAAACTTTGAAAACGGAAAATTCTTACCCCCATTTCAAAATTTACCACCTAGCTCTCAAATCTTGCACAACAAAAATCATACGTTTTGGAAAAAGTTTCGAAAACGCGTTTCGTAAAAACATGTAAAATACATATTTCAAATTCTATATGAAAGGCAACAGATTTAAATTTACCGCATGTTGTTGTTAAAATGCAACTTATTACACAACAGCGAATACTTGAAAGTAATTAAAAGTTAAATTTTGAGGTTTAATGATCAATGTCAGTAATAAGAAACAAGAAATACGTAGACAAAACGCCCGGTACTGGTCCAATAATTCGGCTAACGGGTAAACTATTACAAAACGGAAATACCAAATCCAAACACAGTTCTGCAAAATCAAAAATAATATAAAAAAACACCTAATTACTATTACGTTAATTTCCCACTCGAGATACAAATCCTGCCGCCGCGTACTCAAAACGAAAACCATTCACTCACATTTTAAATTTTACCACAACAAAACCAGAGAAAAAACTTAATATTTCAACCAGAATAGTAAACTTAGTGTTAGAAATTGTTGCTGGCAGTGAAAAAATCAAGACATGTTTTGGTGAGTTGACTTTTTTTTGGGAATTAGGCAACCAAATTACAGGTATACGTGGGCAGGCAACACGCATTGAACTAACGATGTTTAAAAGTACCTTTTTAACTTGGAGGAGATTTTAAGATTACGCCGCTCACCTCGCAACGCAAAAATGCCTTTAACAATAAAACAAAGTGGCTCAACATTTATTACAAATAATCCCATTTCTCCAGACGAAATTTGAGTCCCGAAACAGCAGCAACGAACCCAGAATCTGCAGCGCAGAATCCCAGGATCCGGGTCGATATCATCCCGGATTCGTGAGTCTTTGAAATCTGGCGGTCGATTCCGGAGAGACAGGAACAACGGGAGAATGCGATTCCCGCGGGATAACTCGACATTAAAACGCGGTCGGTGCTGGGGCGTTGCCACGTTATCGCGACTTCAAAATATATTAAAAATGAAATTAAATTAGTGGATTAAGTAACATTCGTTATAATAAATCCGAGAAAATGCCGGATCAGGACAAAGATCTTCCAACGGACGCCCTTTTGGCCGACGTTTTCGTTCCGATACCGATTCAGATTTTCCTTTGGAAACAAGTAGGGTAAGCGAGTTTCATTTTAGAGAAATACAGTACTAAAAAAACAGTTAATCGGCAACGCAGTTACACCTCTTAATCCGGAAATTTTTAAGAATGATAATTAATAATTCTGGGGCGGTTATACGGTTATACCAATTTTTTCCCCGGGGTTCAAAACATGTTTAACAAATATTGTCCGTTTCGAAGACGAAAGACATGTAATTAAACGTAATTGATTTTAAAATGCACAACAATAAAGCTTCAATTTAAATTTTTGACAATAATAATTATTTTCATTACTGTAAACTTTCGCTATGGGTTTTTTGTAGGTGGCAAAATTTATTAAATTAGTTTTCAGGCTACACTACATTTTCTAAGAAACTTTGGGGACCATTAAAAGAGAAAAAAAGCATTTATAACAGCATTTATAAGACAACATCATACTCTTTGCAGCGAGTATAAAATTAGAAAACCAATTTGCAAAAATTTTTTGTATATCATTCCAAAGAATATCAATTTGAATTTTCCCATTGAACATATCGCGACGTCTCTCCTTTCAGACCGTTCATCAAGCCGAAATTGGGCAAACTTCACGAGGCTTCCTGCATGGTAAGAAACACTTCTCCCCATCAAGCTGCATTATATTCTTACCAGACTTCTTTTCCAGTTTTGCCAACACGCCACCACGGGGCACCACGTAAGTACCCACGGAACAAATCGATCCCTTACGCGTCCGTACCTCCTTTCCCGTGTTGCAGGAGCTAAAAGAGGCCTGCAAGGTGTTCGAAAAGGTCCTCGTTCAAAACCTCCACAGCGGTCTCAAACCCGACCTGACCGAGGCGGTCAAATCGATCCCCAGGTGGCGCCTGATCCAGGCAGCCCTGCCCCACGTGATGCACTCGGTACAATCGGTGCTCTACAACAGGTGCGTCGCGACCTCTTGCCCTCACCTCTGACATTTGAACGAATCCCGTTTTAGAATGAAAGACGGCAACATCCAGACTCTCGGCGCGGTAGAGACCAAAGTGCTCTACACGCTTCATTGGATCTTGCTGGATGCGGCCGACGAGTGCGCCGACGCAGATTACGAGAAGGGTATCTTCCCCAACTCCCAGTTCCATTACCTGTTCTCGATTCCGACGATGACGCTGTTCGTCTACCTGTTCGCGCCGCTGTGTCAAAATCTGAAAGAGTCCGACTTTCAAAATTTCCGCCTCGAGAACGGCCTGAAAATATGGCAGCCGATGTGGGAGTTCAGGCACCCGGAGGCGCCGTGTTTCATCTCCCACTGTAAGCCCAAACAGCGGTTCCTGCACGGCAAGGGCTCCACCTGGAGGTCGCAGTTTGGAGACGTGTTCGTTGGCCGTGAGTAACTATCTTCTACTCAGTATTCTCTGCTATCCTTGTAATTCCTCTGGAATATCTTGGAACTTTTTGCCGGATTCCTTGCAATTTCTCCGAAATTTAGCTGCAGCTGAAAACCGGCTGAAGAAATATCTAATACCGAATAACAAAATTCCTCGCCGTTCCTCTATAATTCATATGAATTTCTCTACACTATACCCTAATTCCTCTGTGGTATATTGCTCGAGCATACCTATCAAATTTCTTCTTATTCAGTGCCTTACTCTCAGATCTCTATCAATCATCGCATGTCCAATGTATGTCTCCTGTCTTAGTGCCGGCAGACCTCTTCGTTTTCTCCCTCGAGGTTTCAGTACTCGTTTTGGCCACCTGTGCTTCTGGCATTCTTTGTACGTGACCATACCATTGTTATTCTGTTTTACAATTTCCTTGTTATCGAGTATTTTATTCCCATTCGATCCCTAATTTCTGCAATTATGCAATTTTATTAAATAATAAATGAAAGGTACGACCCTTTCTCTTCTATATTTCCACAAGTCCATTTTTATATTTCCTGGGCCAGGTGTTTTATTGGCTTTTGCCTTTTGTGATGCTTTATTGTTGTTGTTGTCGTTGTTATATATATATATATATATATATATATATATATATATATATATATATATATATATATATATAATATATTCCTTCCGATTTTCTTGCATCGAGTAGTGTTCTTTCCACTCATTTGTACAATATTCTTGAGCTTATTATATATTATATTTTCTATTTCTTTTTATGCTTCCGTTGATATATTATGGCCAATTGTGTTTTCTATGTTTCTACAAAAAGGCTAAAATATTCTTCTCGTGTTTTTAGCGTTTTATCTCATAGCCATTCCTGAAAACCATTTTTTTTCTTCTTTATCATTTCTCCTAAGTCGTCACTATATTTTTCTAAATTTTTACTTTTGTTTTGTTCTATTCCAAGTGCTGCAATCGTTTTTGCTTGTTTCAGATGATGATACATTTCTGTTGTAGTCCATTCTTGTCTGTCTTCTAGTATATTTCGTAGCCTATTTTGGTATAATGTTCTAATATTGAATTGTAGTTCTACTTTATATATCGTGATGTAAAGTTTTGGTTAGTTTTGGGTATTATCTTCTAGGTACTTCCTATATTCGGGACATTGACAATGTCTGCAATAAACTAAATAAAACCTTTTTCGCAATATTAACAATTAGAGATTCATTTCTTGAGAAGGCACTCATAGCTTTTTATTACGCGTCAGCTTACTCTTCCATTTCACACAATATTGTCAACTGGGGACAAGCGAATGATGCTGAGAGGGTGTTTATACAGCAAAAAAGAATACTTAGGCTGATTTTTAAACTTCCTCCGAGGCAATCATGCAAAGAGACATTTCAACAGCTCAAAATATTAACAATGCCTTGTATTTACCTATTTAAAATACTTTTGATCACACATAAAAATAAATATTCACATAGGAAGCATACTGATATCCACAGTTACAATACTCGCAATAGAGAACATCTGCTGAAGCCAAAACTCAACCATATGTTTTATAAAAAATCACTAAGTTACGCGGGACCATATTATTATAATTTGCTGTCTCCAAGCTTAAAAAATTTATCTATAAATTAATTTAAAAAACACATCAAGAGGCTCCTGTCGGCCAATGCTTTCCACAGCCTGAAAGAATTTGAAGCGTACCTGAGAGCATCGTAAATAACGTTAAAAGTTTACCGAGATTTTTCTAATGTATACTCTTTTATTTTAAATTACATTAACTTGTTTGTCATGTTTGTTATATAAATATATACTCGTATTCGTTCTATACATTACTTAGGATTATGATATACATTGTTTTTACAATGAAACTTGTAACTTATTATTTGTATTTATTGACGAAACATCCATTGTATCACCTGGTTTTGTGAATAAATAATCTATCTATCTATCTATCTATCTATCTATCTATCTATCTATCTATCTATCTATCTATCTATCTATCTATCTATCTATCTATCTATCTATCTATCTATCTATCTATCTATCTATCTATCTATCTATCTATCTATCTATCTATCTATCTATCTATCTATCTATCTATCTATCTATCTATCTATCTATCTATCTATCTATCTATCTATCTATCTATCTATCTATCTATCTATCTATCTATCTATCTATCTATCTATCTATCTATCTATCTATCTATCTATCTATCTATCTATCTATCTATCTATCTATCTATCTATCTATCTATCTATCTATCTATCTATCTATCTATCTATCTATCTATCTATCTATCTATCTATCTATCTATCTATCTATCTATCTATCTATCTATCTATCTATCTATCTATCTATCTATCTATCTATCTATCTATCTATCTATCTATCTATCTATCTATCTATCTATCTATCTATCTATCTATCTATCTATCTATCTATCTATCTATCTATCTATCTATCTATCTACCTACCTATCTATCTATCTATATCTATATCTATATCTATATCTATATCTATATCTATATCTATATCTATATCTATATCTATATCTATATCTATATCTATATCTATATCTATATCTATATCTATATCTATATCTATATCTATATCTATATCTATATCTATATCTATATCTATATCAATATCTATATCTATATCTATACCTATACCTATACCTATACCTATACCTATACCTATACCTATACCTATACCTATACCTATACCTATACCTATACCTATACCTATACCTATACCTATACCTATATCTATATCTATTCTATTCTATTCTATTCTATTCTATTCTATTCTATTCTATTTCCATCTTCTCCGAATCGTCCTGCTATGTCTTCGTCTCCTTTCTTGCATGAGCACTAAAATCTCCAATTGACATGATATCATCCTTGTAATTCATAGTGTCCAGTATATCGTTCAGTATATTAAAGAAAAGTTTTTTCTGTGCTTGAGTTGCATATACTCCAACTATTGTTATTGATTGTAAAAAACCTCGTTTTCGAGAAATGTCCGCAGAAACATCTAATACAGAGTAACAGATCGCATCAAATAATAACGATAACAACCGTTTTTTTTTCTCGTTTTCCTTAAAAAAGGCACACAGTGAACGGCAACATACCGATCGATCGTCCGCAGTCTATAATTCCCGCGTGCCTTGTTATCAGCAACGTGTCGCGTTTCAACTAATATAAGAGTCGTGGTATCATCAATAACCGCCGTTCGACATAGTCGCCGGACCCACATTATATCGGTCATGGCGATGGTAACGTTGGTCCCGATGGTCTTAGCGCTAAACGCTACCCTCCTGCGGACCTTGCCCGACCTGACTCGGGCAATTTTCCAACACGAGAAACACCTGTGCTACATATTGGGCGAAGACGACCGCTTCCCGGATGAAGGCTACGTCGCCACCATCACCAAAACCTTGACGATCTTCAATCGCGACTTTTTAAAAGAAGCACGCAGTAACTATCCGTGCGAAGGCTACATCTTCACGGCGTCATACGGAATAGCTTTCCGATCGTTCTTGCAAAGCCTCAGCCAGCGTCGAGGTTTCTGGCCCGGGCCTCAGAAGAGGATCCTGTTGCTCTTCGTAGACGATTTCGGCCTAGAGGTACCCGAAACTATGCTGACGAACGAGCTATACGTGGCGGAACGCCTATTCGGTGACTTTAAAGTAACCTACTTTAACCAGAAGATGCCGCTGCTGGCCGAGAACGGATCGCTCGTGGAGGAGTCCGCGTTTTACCCGAAGCAAACTATGCCTCGATACCGGGAAATTTACTCCAATTTCAAGGTGCCCGTTTTCGACTGCCAACCGTTTATCTATTACGACAGAGAGAGCGGCGACGCGCCCCATGGACTTGAAATAACAATTCTGCGGGCGATACTGGGCGATTTCCCGATCGAATTCGTGCCCGTCGAGGCGAACTTTGAAAACAAATGGGACTACGTGACGTCGCTGGTCGAATCCGGCCAGACCCAGGTCGCCGGCTGTTCCCAGTTCCTCGTCAATGCGAAAAAAAGGAACGTGGACTTTTCCTATTGGGACCTGCAGCTCTGCCAGACGTTCCTCGTGCCGAAACCCAAGCTTTTACCGGGGTGGACGTTCGTCTATCAGCCGCTATCGACCCGCACCTGGATCGCGTCGTTATCCATGTTAGGGATCGTCTCGTTGGTTTTCCGATTGCTGATCGCTTCTTATCCCGTATCCTTCACTGATACATCGATCGTTTACGTTCACAACGTACGTCACTATACTTCGGGAGCTATAGAACTGAGGCGCCGACACCAAAACTTCACCTCGTACCGGATCATGCACGTGTTCTGGGTGATCCATTGTCTGCTGATGTCGACGTACTACAGCGGCGGCATGAACAGCATCTTTGCTACGCCGCGCTTCACGAACTTGATCACGACGATTCGGGACATGGTCGACGCCAACCTCAATTACCAGCTGCAGCTTCAAAATTTCGCCGACCAGTTCAGGGCGGTCAATAGCACCACGTACGTCAAACTGGCCGAGCTCTTGAAGTACGGCAAAAGAAGCGAGACCGACTTGAGCGAATCAGCGTTGGTGGTGAAAAAAATCGGCAACTCTTACGTCACCGATATCGAGGACTTCGACCGCGAAGATCTGCGCAAAAGCAAGGTTCTATCAGACTGCGCCTCCACCCATTACTTGGGATTCGTCTTGGAGAAAAACTCGCCGTTCACTGAGCGTTTTCACAACTTGACGAGGAGCTTGGCGGAAGCCGGTCTCATGCGCTACTGGCTCAAACAGGAAATCAGAACCGATTATCGGTTTCAGAGACAGTTTTTCACCAATTTCGTCGGCAATCAGCACTTTGTCACCGTCAACTTAGCCAGACTCAACGGAGCGTTCATTTTGCTCGCCGTTGGGTATTCGCTTGGCGCACTGGCTTTCCTCGTGGAGTTGTTGATCTAACGCGTTCGAACTAAAGGCAACATCACTTCGAATATTAAGTTTTCTCACCGTCTACATAATGTGTTGAACAATTTGCCATCACTGTACAGTATTAAATGTTCTAAAACGCCAATAATAATAATAATAATAATAATAATAATAATCTACTTTATTCAGGTAATTTCGACAAGGAAAATTACAAAAAAAGCCAAGAGTACAGCGCTCAGACGAATCTGCTTGCTGATTTCTACACTTCTTACAAATATCATCGCACCAAAACCCACCTCTGTAAATAAAAAAAACTATTAGCTATTAGTACTGTAAGAATTCTAGCGCTGCACAGCGGTTTGATTCTTCCAGCGTTCTGTAAATTCTCAATGATTTTTTCATTTTTTTTCTCTGTAAATTCTAGAACATAAACACGTTTTTATTTGATTTGCAAAATAATGTATTGTCGCATTCTGAACGGAAGGGGGCAGGTCATTCATTTATTCACGTCTGTTCTAAAAGCTATTTTTAGGAGAAGTATTCGGGATGTTTTCTTTTAATTATTTTGAAATAAAGACAACAGCTTCATATTCGTCTAACCCGCTTCTTTCAGCTTGTAGCGATAGATCCTCCGCGACGGATACCGTAAATAAACCTCAGGCAGCATTTTTGAAACTTTTCAATACGTTGTGACAAATTAGCGATAGAAAATGTAGAATAGAAGAGAATAAGTAAACATTCAAAGTGCGATGTTTTTTTATGGACCTTGACAAAACTTCTTCGGAGGGTACCCGAATTGAGACTTAACTTAACAAATCCCAGTCCCATCAGGTTTGCCTTAAGGGTGCCATTTGGACCCCCTGCTTTTCATCAACGAAATCGATACTTGGTATAATCTGTCTCAATCTTCCAGGGCCAGGTATATTTCTCGAATGTTGACCATTTGTGGCAGTGTTGAATAATCGTTTTTACTGTGCGTATCGAACAAGTTATTTTACGACGATATGTCGCGTCCATATCATTGATGCAAAACAGGTTGTGCAAAATGTGTATGAAACTTAGTAAAGCGAAGTGGTTCCTACCTTGGATAAACTGAAAAAGAAGATAGAAGAAGTTGAAACCAATATAAATATAAGAAGTGCCATCCTCCATAGAGTTATAATTTGAGTACCGCAAAATAGACAAAAAGCAAGTAGTCATGGAATCACACATATTACAACAAAGTCAAAGTCAAAATAGTAAACCAATAGTATGTTACATTTGATAAAGACTTTTAGTTCTTATTTATTTTGATAAATGGATTTTTATCAGGTAAAAGCAACAAAAGCAAGCAAAAGCAATAGTATTTCAGTGATCCAGGCGTGTCACCTGCGTGTCTTTCATATTTATTCTGTAATTAACCAAATAATTAACTAACTAACCAAAACGATACATTCCACCCATTCGTTACCTCAGTCCCTCCCTCCTTGGGCCCCGTCGACCATTTGGCAGAGCTGTGAGAAATAAGTTCTTTTTTTTTAGAGTTGTATTGTAACCAAAATGATCTTGCATATTCTTTTTTCTTAATTATAATATTTAATTTTTAGGAAAACCATCGGAAATCGATCCGATAGCCACTAAAGAGAGCCCGACGCTCAGTCAGCAGGTCAGCGCTTCTAGTTCCGAACAGCAAAATTTACTTGCAGGTTTGACGACAACGACGACGGTGAGCGTGACAGCACCTCCGCCGAAGTACGACGATGAGGTACTATAAACTAACTATCCTCCCAAGAATGTCCTCGGACGTGATTTTCCAGACGGGATGGGTGTCGTCGCCAAAAGATACCGTTTTTCCGGAAACCATCCCGGAAGAAAGCTCGAGCACGGAAGAAGAACACGTGGTGATATTCCGGCTGCCTTCATTGCACGAGACGGACGGGTTTCTCAGAGACCCGTCGATCTATACGGTATGTATCCCTTCGAGAAACTCCTCTTGGTCGATGACTAGTCCTCGCAGGCGGAAACCAGCATAATCCAGCTAGCGATGAGGAGAAACGGCCGCACCAACAACATCAACAAGAGCGAGCACGTCCAATCGTCGATGACGGACAAGATCCCTCGGCCTCCAATGCAAAAAGCGGGGTGAGTTTTGGCACCATCGAGGACTGACATCATTTAGTAATGCGTCGCGGGTCCTATCGCAGGTCTTCGACGGACAAGGACTCGATGGATAGCGGCAACAAACCGGTAGAGGCAAACGAGCCGCCACCAAAATTCGGGTCTCACCACATCATGGACCTACCCTCGGCTACCTTCCTGGATGTCGCGGTACTGCGGTGCCTGTTTATAACTCATTGGCAGGAGGAGGGTATCTACTGGGCGCTACATTTCCTTTACAACAGGTTACGTGCAAGAAAATTTCAGAGGGAGTGGATCTAGACTGACCTCCTCCACAACTTTCGCTATTTCTTTGATCACAAATTGCAGGTTAAGAGATATAAGCGAGGAAACGGCAGCCCAACATCAACCGAGGAAGCGCAGCAATTCGCTGCCCATCCCGAAGATAGAGGTCTCTTTTTATCAAAATGACAACAAGCGGAGCGAGAATAGTAAAGACTTCATCGAAGTGCCGGAACCCAAGGACGTGTCCCTTCTCACCGGTAACCCTTCGTCTCTAAAATCGCAACCCCGTCAAGGCTGCATTTCAGAATCGCCGTATTCGAACCAGAAGCAATCAGACGGGTCCCTTCACAAAAGGACGGCCAGCGAGAAGGGACGCAGAAGAATGAAGATTGCCGACCTTAAGGCGTTCGTGGAGACCAAGCTATTGTCGAAGTCGGACAAGGCTCTCGAGAAGATCGGTCAGGAGGAACCCAAACCGCTGGAACCGTCTCAACCGGTGGGTTTCGAGAGTATTGCTCGAAGAGCACTGAATGTATGTATTCTATCCACTTTTCTATATCTTATGCTTTTACGCGCTTCCACGCTGCATCTTTGCATTTCCTCTTAACGCGCAGAGCTTGCTTTCGTGAAAAAACGAATGAATGAAACTTTACGCCTTAGGAGTATCACCGGAGCCTGGACACTGGCGAAGATTTGTCGAGGAAGAACTCGGCATTGTCTAAAACGTTCGAACCCATTATCAGCAACTTGGTTAAGGGGAAGAGTATGCCCAGTCTCAGGTGAGTCAGTCACGACATAGCTATAACGAGGTCACTTCTTTTTATCGCTTCTGTTACTGAAATTTATCGAACGACTATAATACGTGTGGCACCACTCAATCTTCGGCTAGATGTCGCCTCTTTCTGTGTGCGTCTCTCTTAAGTGTCTTTTTTTTTGTTCTCCTTAGCTGTTTGTTAGACGAAACAAATCCCGAAGGGTAAGTTGTCGACTCTCTATCTCTTGGACTGCCGTTACCATCTTAGCACCCCGTCGTTTTAGCAGAGCATGCTTCTAGAAGTCAAATTCGCAAAGCTCGCGTTAATCCGTCTCGTATATAAATTTCGCATGTCCCAGGTACGTCGAGGAGAACAGATGGGACGGTAGACGGCCCAGCAAGCTTCCTCAGAACCAACCGATGGCGAATCCCATCATAACTGTCACCGAGCACACCCCCACTCCATCGCCCGACTATTTGAGGCGACAGGTATCGTTATCTTGAAGGCTCGGAGCCCGGGGTTATCATTTCGGAAATTTCCAGGGATCGATGGATAGTCAATTGGACACGGTGAGCTTGGCGGAGAAGGCCGATCAGTGGGAAGAGCGGAAATCGAGTCTGACTCGGTCCCAAACCGATTCCAACATTATCTACAGCAGCAGCGACTCGCCAAAAGCACCCGGAGCCGACTGCTACATCACCAAAGATGGCGATATCGATTTTTACGTCGTACTGAAGGTGGTGCTCGCGACAAACCCTCAAACTCATTCCGACTTTTTTTTTTCACGCCTCCAGGCGGTCTACAGGACGTCGCTGCGCGAAAGCGTCTCCTGCACTCTGAGAGTTCTAGAAGTGATTCTCAATTTGCTGGAATTGCTCGTCGACATGGGCATACTTAAGCAATCCGTGAAGGAGCAGATCAACGCGACGACCCCAACGGCAGAAGAGGCGCAGAAGAAAGCCGGAGAAGAATTCGGAGACGAGTTTCTCTGCGGTGACCAGCCGATGGCGCCGCACAAGATGATCATGAACACCATCGTCAGGTAAAGGCCGTGCGTGAAACTACTTTTCTCTCTCTCTCTCTTTTCGTGATTTATTAATGGTGTAAGCCTTCTCCATTTCTCTCTATCCTCTACGGTTCTCATAACTTCCGCTACTGGCATGTTTGTAAGGTGCCCGATCTAACTGGTGATCTGCCTCTCGTTCTTTTGCCGTCCAGTTTCCCTTCTTCTGCATCCTTCTGTATCACGTGATCAAAGTATTTTAGTATACGCTTCTGGATTGTTAGAAGCAGCCTTTCATGATTCCACTGTGGATGTTTCTTCTGTGCGCCGTATAAGGGATGCTTAATATTCAGCTGTAGCATATCATTTCAAACGGCATGCGGCATTTAAAGTCCAAGATTTTCTGAACGTTGTTTCTTTTGCCATCCCATTTCTTCTCTTGGTTTCTGGTTCGGAGCCTCCTTTGCTAGTTAGTTTTGCCCCAAGAAAGATGACAGTGATTCCCACATCATAAATGTGTCGAAGTGGTATTGGGATTGTCTGAGGCCTATCCACAATCAGCAGCATTTCAGACGTAGACCTGATTCCAAACTAGCAGCTTCCACATATTGAAGGAGTTCAAATATGGGGTCATCCGCATATCGCAAATTTGATACTTTCTCCCCCCCCCCCAAAATAATCCGGTCTCCGTAGATATTCAAGAGAAGTGGGGAGAAAATGCAATCCTCTTCTTGTCATATAGAGCTTTTGTGATATATACGAGATGTTTCAGGACCTCGATCTCGCTCAAGATGTTCCATAGTTGTCTCCACTGTACTGTGTACTGTGTAGTCGAGGAAGCAGAACATAGCTGGTATATTGTATTCATATACTTTTTCTATTATTTATCCTACGTTCATAAAATGGTTTCGCATTCCACGACCTTGCACAAACCCTGCCTGTTCTGGGAGATCTGCGGTAGAAGGCAATTCTTCAATCGTTCCTGTATGATTTGCAAGATAACTTTACTGGGATGACTGATAAAAAAACGATGGTTTTCATAATTGCCGCCTTCGTTTTTAGCTCCTTTTTTATCTAACGCCATTCACCATTTTCGCAGAGCTTTGCGCAGATCTTTAGCATTTTAGCGACGATGTTATTAATAAATAATAGATCTGGTTGCGTGAGTCCCTCTCTGGCGATCTCCAAGTGTACAATCTCCTTACATGGTGTTAGCCATGGATAGCTGATTCTCTGCACAGAAATCGAGCAACATTTCTCCGCGTTCATTCCTGGTTCCCATTTACTGGCTGTGCCTTCATTCTGACAAAGATGATACGGTCGTTGACTGCTTAATAGCCAAGTACAGCGTCCTTGAAGTCTTTATGGATTATGAAGGCGACCCCGTTGATGGATTGAGAATTGTTCTCTGAGCATAGTATTAGGTTGCCGTTTTGTGATACGTAATGACCGTTGTTTCTCCAGTGAGTCTCTGATATATCAGTAATATCTAGATCTTCCACAGCCTTTTCGATAGTCATCAGTTTTCCACGCCTATTAAGGCGTTGAACGTTCCATGTGCAGATTTTATGCATTGACGGTTTCTGGTTGTGTCTTCTCCCAGGGAGCCTGATTACCTACTACTCCATAGCCAGTAGCCAATTTCATACTCGCGTCTCATAGCTTCAGAACGTTTTTTCTTGTACTTGGATTCATGAAAAGTTTTCTAGGGATTTACAGCGCAGTTTCACAACTGTGTTCAGCTGATACAGCTGCGCGATGATACAACCCCATGACCTCTATCTGAGGGTCGCTACCATCTTCTACTAACAAAATTCCTGCCCATCGCTAGTTTCTGCCGCTGTGGTCTTCGCACGTGTCCCTGGGCATGGGTGAACGGGAACGCGCCTGCCGTGAGTTACCTAAGGTTTTCCTTAGGCCGGGTTAATGCTCATGTATGATTCCACAAGCAAGAAACTATTCTATACGTGTAGTTAATATGTTTAGTATTTTACTGTTACAGTTCTAAAATGTCTTTTTTCATCGGGTTCCGTCTAGAGTGTTGAAGCACCTCGGCTGCCCGCACGGTTGCGCCGACGGGCAGCGCGGTCCTGCTGCGGAATTCCTGCGTACGCAGTGCCAAAACCTGTTGGCGCGACTCAACAAGGCCGGCGCCAATCAATTCAAAAAGTTCCTGCGGGAGTACGTAAAATCGCAGCCGCTGGCGGACATCATGGATATTCTGCACGCCTACCTCGGCTATTGCGTGGACCCCGCGTCACTGCTGTCGCCTCTGAGTAAGAACCGTCTCCCTTCCCCCTTGCGATTGCTCGAAGGTGCAAGTGGAAGAAGTTTTCACACGCGGTCATTTTTTTTTTGGTTTTATTCTACCCGGTGTCCGTTTTGGTAGTTACAGAAACGAAAGGTCTTCGATAGCGACTGTAATTATTACCTCAATTGTTGTAAAAACTGTTAGAGGTTCTCTCTGTAAATAAACCATACCTCCGCTCACGGAAATGTACACCTTGAAAACACCTAACCTATCGTAATCGGCACAGGAGGTCCGGTTTTTGACAATTTAAAGATGGCGGTGTCATTTGTTAGTGGGTCAGATTGCCCCAGCTACCAATATACGTTTGTAGGTGTGTTGAAAGCCGGACCTGGAGTGACGTAGATCGAACCATAATGCTGTGAATAGTATTTAAGCCTCCGTTGTTGGTGTTACCGATTAGTAGAGAATGCTGTCTCCCTAGTGACTGGTATTGCGAAATTTGGTTGGCCTTCTTAGAAAGTAGCTTACGTAGACTGTCGTTCCCGTCCACTTAACTCGACCGAACCTAGCCGTATAGCCTAGACCGCGAGGACTGCCTGGAAGCCGATGCTCGTGTCTAAAGTCGGTTATAGCAATTTTGACAACGACGCCGGCTCGCTTAATACGGGTTCCAGACAAACCTGGCACGTTAACTATTGCGGCCTCCGAAAGAGGTCGCCGATGGTTAAAATATTTTCGGAGAAAGTCGACGGCGACTCATTGACTCGTGCGTTTAGAGGAGTCGTACACGTACACATCTCGGTACCGTTTCTTTGGGTGTAGCCCATCCGAAGGGCACTGGATCGGTCAAGTCACCAGATACTGGGGGGCTGCATCAGCCGGGTAGCGCACAAACTCACTTTGGGTTGACAGGCGTCGGCGGCGTGGGCGGCGGCACCAGGGGCGTCGAAGGTCAAGTCGTCACGCACTGTCTGAAGCCGCTCGTCACCAGATTCGTGAGGGCGATGAAGGAAATCAAATCGCCCGAAAATATGGTGCGTATTTTTCGTTTTTCTTTTCATCCCTACAGAAAGATGGCGCCCTTAAGGACGCAGCTGGATATATTTTTTCCTTTTATAAGTTAGAGTCTTTTAGAAACCCTATATCTTTATCAGAAGGTCATGTACAGGGTGTTTCACAGCTTTGGAAAAACGGGAAGTAGTATTTTGAAGAAAATTTCTTTCTTTTCTTCTTCTTTCTTTCGGGAATATCAGTAGGTTTCCAAACTTTCATAACATCACGAATCACTTCATCAAAACACTGTCGAATTGTGAGGTTAGAATCTGTATGCTTGTAGAAAAATAATTATAAAACTTTTTTTATACTCGGTAATTTTCGTTTACTTGATTTTCTACATGAAAAACCAACCAAATAAATTTTCTTATCGGCTATTTTACTGATAACAATTGAAATTTCTGAGAGCTTTAAAGAATGACAATACACAATAATTTCTTAATACATGTGTTGCAAATAAAACATCGACTATTAATTAGGAAAACAATTTTGTTAAATTATGTAGATAAAAAATTATTTATAGTTATATGTAAATTTAATTTTAGTGAAAAAATTTTTTCCTATCTTAATTATAAGGGAAACTAAAATACCCCTTAGAATTGAGCTACAGGGCTCATCTTTAGCTAGGATTTTTTTTATATCAAAAAGAAACATTTGGGGGGGTAAGAGCTAAAAAAAATTTTTTTCATACATAGTACGGCATAGGTCGTAGAGATGGAGATGATCTTTCTAAACAGCGATCTCGCGACCAAATGTTCAGTAAATTGCGAACTCATAGTCTTCCGAAACCATCTTAAATGTATTTAAAAAAATATAAAAACCTTTTGGCAGCTTGTTTATAAACAATTCCAATTTCACAAATTATAAAGTGATAAAAATGTTTATTTTTCAGGGCTTGTATTGCGAAATTCGCCTCCTGATGATCTACGTCAAGGAGGGCCACGGCGGAGTGTTTCGACGCGTCGCCCTTAGCGCCTTAATCGACACCGCGGACAGAGATAACAAAAAGGAGTCCAACATACAAACCACCCGAGTAATTAGGTGAAGTATTATGACTAGAATACCAGATAAAAGCAAATTCGAGCACCTCTATGGTGGCGATCACCTTCATTTTGAATTTACTAAAACTCCAGAACGCTATTTGGGATTCATTTGCTTATTATACGAGGTGTGTTCAAAAAGTAAGGTGACTTTGATTTTTTTTGTAATGTTGTCATGACTGGTGACGAATCATGGGTATATAGTAATGACATCGAAACCAAACCCCGATCGTCCCAATGGAAGAACCCAGAATCGCCAAGACTGAAAAAAAGCACGTCAAGTTCGATCAAATATCAAGGTTTTGCTTACCGTTTTCTTTGATTATATAGTAACATCGAGAGTTCTTACCACAAGGTCGTATGGTCAATAAAGAGTATTGAGAGAAGCAATATGAAGAAAACATCCGGAATTGTGGGAAAACAAGTCATGGATTGTGCATCACTGCTCACTCATCGTTGCTTGTGTCTAACTTCTTGGCCAAAAACAAAATCACAATCATGCCTCGGCCAGCATATTCACCGGATATGACCCCCTGCGATATTTTCCTGCTCCCAAAACTCAAGAAACCTATGAAAAGAACGATGTTTGGAACGAGGAGATAAAAAAAATAGCTGGAAGAACCCAAGGTTATACCAGAAAGTGCTTACTAGAAGTGGTACATGTGGAGAGAGGGGGTTACTTTGAAGGGGACAAGATTAATTTTGGTGAATGAATAAATACCTTTTGATAAAACTTAAAATTCACCTTACTTTTTGGACACACCTCCTAGGCTAAAAGTGTAGAGAATAAAATGTATATGTTTTGTACGGTGCGTACAAAAGAAGCTATTGCTGCTGTAGAGCGTAGCATTGAGGAAGACCCGAAAGAGTCCATCCGCCATCGAGCACAGGAATTGGATCTGTGTCCATCCACTTTATGGAAGATTTTGCGGAAGGATCTTGGTTTACGTGCTTACAAAATCCAAGTCGTGCAAGAATAGGCGTAGATTCGTCGAATTGGCCCAAAATGAGATTGCCGTTGTTCCCGATTTTCATAAGCGAATTTTATTTAGCGATGAAGCGCATTTCTGGTTGAATGGCTACGTCAACAAACAAAACTGCCGCATTTGGAGCGAAGCTAATCCTCAAGTGTATGTCGAAACACCGTTACATCCAGAAAAGCTGACTGTTTGGTGCGCTTTATGGGCTGGTGGAATCATTTGTCCGTACTTCTTCAAAAACGATGATGGCCAGAACGTTACAGTCAATGGTGATCGGTATAGAGCTATGATTACTAACTCTTTCATTCCTGAATTGAATAACCATGATGTGCAGGAGATGTGGTTTCAACAAGACGGCGCAACACAGCTCGTGCCACAATCGATTTATTGAAAGACGTTTGGTGACCGCCTAATTTCAGGTTTCGGACCTGTGAATTGACCTCCAAGATCTTGTGATTTAACACCGCTAGACTACTTTCTGTGGGGCTATGTAAAGTCATTGGTCTAGATATGCGGATAAGCCACAAACGCTTGACTATTTGGAAGACAACATTCGCCGTGTTATTGCCGATATACGGCCACAAATGTTGGAAAAAGACATCGAAAATTGGACTACGTCCGCGCTAGCCGTGGCGGTCATATGCCAGAAATCATATTTAAAATATTATCTTTCGGATAAATAAAATTCACGTCAATCGAATAATCCATCGTTGTTTTATTGCAACTTAAATATCTATACATCGAAAAAAAAACACCCTATATTATATCAAGCCATCGAGGAAGTGGCATTGGAGAATTGGCAAAGGTGTGATGATCGATCGTACAGTCAACACAGCTTTATAATTTAATTTTTGTATAGTGAATTTTTTGTATAATGTTTAAATAAAAAATAAGGGCACCTAATACTGCGCACATATTACCCTAATTTTCATTTTTATACCATTTTCAATGCATGAAGAAAATGCAATGAAATCGATACCAAACAATGAAAGTGACTTAAGTATTCGTTGGATTAATCTATAGTTATTTCGCATACATTTTTATTTGAATAAAAAAAAAGGACTTTTGGTGGCATTAATCGATTAACGAGTATCGCCTCAACCTTAACCTTTTTGTCTGCCGTAGGCATATGCACCCTTCGGAGCTGGAAGATCAAATGGACGGCCAGTCGGACGTGACGTACACGATCGACGATAAGGGCATCGTCAGAAAGCTCTTCTTCAAAAAACGCAGCACCTCGTCGACCTGCGCGGTAAGTGCCATCTCTTGGTCTGGTCTCGCGCAGCAACTGCCAGTTCCAGAGCCTGCTCGAAACGGAAGCGGACGAGATATCGAAATCGAACCAGAGCCCGTTGGGAAACCTGCGCAAGAAGCACCACATCCTGACGCCCCGGCAAAGTGAGAAAGCGCTCGGTATAGCCCTCGAGGCGGGCCTCCAAAAGACGCGCAAACAGAAAATGGGCGCCATCGCCAATTGGTTCAAGAAAGGCGAGAATCAGTCGGTCGACGAGGTCGACTGCGGCGACAACGGCGATTCGTTCAACGACACGGCCAGTTTTATACGTCAGTCGTCGAAATTCAGTCAGCACCGGGGCTCAGGCAAGGTTCACGTGGGCTACACGTTCCAGAAGGCGAAACGCCGAATGGAGGACCGGCTCAAGTTTTTGAAGAAGGGCAAGAAGAAAGACGGCAGCATGGAGGAGACGCTCGGCGGAAGTGAGTGCGAAAAGTTGACGGTTTTAAAGTCGGCACGACAAAAACTAAGAGCGGCAAACCTCTAGAAGAATTATGGTGTACACTGGAAATCCTCTGTAATTAATTAGAATTCCAATGGAATACGAGATACGAAAAACAGTTTGGTACAAAAATTTCTTGGACTCTCCTGTAGATTTGAAATATTATGATATTGTTGATACAGGGTGTCCCAAAAATAAACATCCTATATATTTCGAAATTTTTGGAATTCCTATTCGAATTTTTTCGTAGTTTGGGCAGTTTTTTTTTCATATTTTGATTGCCCCATATAAAATTGTATTGTGACGTTACTGATGCAAGTATTGCAACGAAAATTTAACCACAGATTAAGGAGATAATGCACTACTCAATCAGTTTGACAGATGCGTCTCAGCTGATACATGGTGTCCCAAATAGGTGGTGTCGTTTTGGCACCACCTATTTGAGATTCTCAAATGGAACACACCATATTTTTATTCAGATATCAATTCTAGCTCACAAAATAAGATAAGTTCGTAATTTATCTTGTATTATATTTATCTTATTTTACCTACTTTTTCAGATATTTAATGCTGCCCACATTTTTTAAATAGTAAAGAAATAGGAATAAGACCTATTGCTAACAATACAGGGTGTTCATAATACGTGGAAATTTTGAAAAAGATCGAGTCTATAGTACACACTTTACACACACAGATTTAATAAAATTTCAGAATAACAAAAATAAATAAATAAAATTTATAGGCTAACTAAACAAAGTAAAAAATTTCAATACATAAATCCATAAAACAAAAAATTAACTAAAAAGACTTCCTTAATTCGTTCGGTCCATAAAGTTCCTCTTAAAATGCTAGTTTCATTTGTCGTCAAAACAACAAAAAAATATCAAAATACTTAAAAATATAGTTGACTATGACTGGCTCGGTAGCGTCGCAACACAATTTTATATGGGGCAATTAAAATATGAAAAAAACACGTAACCTCAACTTCCGCCTAAACTAAACAAAATTCGAATAGGATTTTTTTAAGAAAGTGTCCTTCATTTTAACCAAGGATTCGAAAAATGTCGAAATATACATCGTGTTCCATTTAAAATAACAAAGTTGATGTCGGAAGGGGGGCTGACACTTTTGGTACACTCTGTATAAAAATGATAATACTTTAAACCTTGAGGAGTGTTCAATATACTTTTTTTCGTATCTCCTATGGGTTTCCAGATGGTAAGGTGGATCATTTTATTTGGCACACGGTGTACAATATAACGGGATTCCTAATTATAGAGGATCCTCAGAGAAATTCCCAGAAGTTTCAGAAGGATTCCAAATAAAACGTAGATAAAAGAAAGCAATTCTAGAGCAATTCTAACTAATGACAGAGAATTTTCAGAGGAGAATTTACAGGAATTTCAGTACAAAAGGAAATATATTATTACAGAGAAATTTCAACTAATTACCCTCTTTCCTCTGCGGTTTATCCCTTAAAAGAGTTTTGACCACTTTTGTGTGCAACGTTTTGACAGATTTCAGCCGCAGAAACTCGTTCGAGTTCGGCGAAACGTCTCGCGAATCCGAGTTTGTGTTCCTTAAAGAGCGCAAACTGATCCGAACGGGCACGGTTTATAACGGAGCTCTGAGGCTGTCGTTTCTGCTCGAAACGTGTCCCCCAGGCTCGGTTCCCGACGCGTTCTTATTGGCCTCCGCGTTGGACCTGGTAAGTGCTCCAACCGCCCCCCCCCCCCTTCACGCCTGAAACGCGTTCCACGTTACAGCCTCACTCTGCGGTGGTAGCTCGGGCTACCCTATTCCTAGAATGCGCCTATTTCGTGCACTGTTGCAACAAGGGTAAGCCCCGATCGGTCCTTATCGCTATTAAATCGCTTACCACGCCGTGGTTACGTCAGGGCAATGGCCGTCGTGGATGAAGTTGAACTTCCCGGTGTTCCGGCCGTCGGGACCGCTGCCGACCAGAGGCAACTGTCACAACGTCAACCGCAGGGCACATGTAATGCAAAGGGCGGCGGGCAAAATGTTCTACCAGTGGGCGGAGATTATCGGCCAGCGGCTGGAAGAGATGATCAACGAGGATAAAAATACTCAGGCGCAGATATCGGCCATGGTATGTAAAGGAAATTAAATTTCTCGACGCTTAATCCCTTCCAAGCCAAGCCATAATTACAATTTCGATGACGATTTTGTTAGATCGCTTTATCAAGGAATTAAAGATTCGTGGTAAATAGGTTCCTAATTACTAAACTCTAATTCAACAAAACTCTTGCAGTACTGTGTCCAGAAACCTGATTGAAAAACAAATAGGATGTCATTATTTTTAATAAATTCGTAGAGCTGTAAGGACACGACCTTCTCTACGACCTTAACCGATTCAGGAGAATTTACTTTAGGAATAGGACACGCAACAGGCTGGAAAGTAAAAATTCTCGAGGCATTTTTAACATTAAAAGTGAAATTCCATCATAGCTGACTTTAAGTGTAACTTTAAAAAGTATAGGTTTGGGGTTTTGCAGGCTCCTATAAAAGTTTCGGCTCTAATAGCTCTAGTTCCACTCCAGGTAACAGACCCGGACAAACAAAAGGAGCTCCAGATCCAAGACGAGGAGGAGGACTTCCTCGACGAAGCGAGTATCAACACGTTCGGTTCAAATTGTCCGACCGCCTTGCGTCTCATTGCCTGCGTGCTCTTGCAAGAGATCACTGCATTCCTCAGGGAGACGTACCAGACGCTGCCCAAGTCGTCTAGGATCGTCGGCAAGGAACGCGCGCCTCCGTGGGAGAAATTCTACAATCGCGAGGCCAACCGGAGGTGGAGCATGGCCCTCTCTTCGATGGGACACTCCCAAACGTCGGCCCAGAGTTTGCAGAGTATCGTGGGAGATCGCGATCCTGGTAAGGGCGCCCGTCTGGTGGGTGAATGGTTACTATATAGTTTCGTATTGATGTATTCGATGTGGAAATGCTGGACGACCGTAGTTGATTCCCACATCAATCTCTGTCTCGGTATAGGGTATTTTTCGTAAGACACTGGCCACACACTTCGATTTAGACTAAGGTGCACTCATCTTGTATACACACTTTCATCCCGTTTCCCCGCCGACGGTAACTTTCTTCTTGCGTCCGGACCTTCTAACGTATGTGTTTTCTTTTTGCCACATTTAAAAAACCCATTAGCAATAGGCCAGACGGAGAGGAAGATCAGCTTCGTGCTTCACGAGCCCGACAACGAGTCTGAGGAGAGCGGTACCACTACGGTCACCACCCAGGTGCGCGAAGTAAAGTCTCCTTCCGCAACTCGCAATACAACGTTTTATTTTGCAGATGATGCAGGAGGACGGCAAACGGCAGAGCCGCCCTTATTTGCTGAGGAGAGCGACCGCCGCTACCGGCGGAGGTTCGTTTAAAAGACGAAGCCTAAAGTTGCGTAGAGGTACCAAGGAGGGCAAAGACATGGAAATCGAATGTAAGGATTGCGTGTTTCGCTTTCGCTCGTCCACTGTCATCCGCTTCGCAAGCTTTCATACGATTCCCCTCTTGTTTCTTTCAGTCTTGAGGTTTACGATTTTTTTTTGCGAAATAAAAAATGAACGGAGTTAATCCAAAATACCCTATGCCAATATATGTTGCGGTGGCAAGAGTGATTAGAAACAAGTTCTGTGCCGAAATACGAATGCCGTAGATGTATCTGTCTGAATTAGGCTTGGTGTTGCGGGCGCGACGTACGTCGTTGCTTTTTTGTTTAGTGAACTAGGTTCGGGATTTTAGGGCGCATACCGGAAACGGTCAAGCGCACCGATTCCATTCAGTCGAAACGGAAGGTCAGCTCGTTGTCCGATAGGAGCGACACCTCGGAGCCGGGGGTCGCTGGGGAAGTGAGCGGAGAAGAATCTCCTGGTGTCTTGAGCGACGACCAGCCTCCGGAAAGTCCCAGCGATAGCAACGAGAGCGAAGACACCACGAAACATATGCCGTGGATGAAGGTACTTCTTCTTCTTCCCGTTTCTTCTCCTAACGGGGGTTGGATATTATCATGGCATGTCTAATCTTGTTAAAAGTTGCTCTGAATGGTTGTTGAGCTAAGAGCTTCTTCTTCTCCCGTGACTCCTTCTGCCCTTGATCTTTCCTTCCATAATGCTCTGCAGCATCGCATAATTAGGGCCCCTAATCACGTGGTCAAATTATTCCTTTTTAGAGAGTTAATTGTTTCTTTATGCTCAAACTATAGAGGACTTAGTGTAACAAACTCCCTTTTAAGACTATATGGAAAAATCATTAAAACACGAATAGGACAACAAATTCAAAATTATTGATTTTATTGTAACTAGACAAACCACCAAAAGAAGATTATATGATGTTCGAGTGTGTAGAGGTGCAGAGTGCGGCACAGATCATAACGTCGTAAAGACAAAAGCTTTCTTTCCATTGATAATCCATTCAGACAAACAGCCAATAACAAATTGTCGAAAAGAAACACATGAAATAACATATAAATTGGATGGTCTAAAAGAGGAATCGACGGCATTCCTATATACACTCAGGTTAAATTTAAAACTCAGTAATGTAACATATTCATCTGGTTTAAATACCTATAATAGCATATTGAGATGTATACGAGAAGCCGCAATGGAGGCCTTGAGAGAAAAACAAACAAATAACTCACATAAGATCACCGAATGGTGAAACGAAGACGTTGAACATTGACATTAGAAAAGAAACAAGCATATAACACCTGACTGACTACAAATAGAACAGAAGATAGAATATACTATTCTCGTTGCTCCTATGAAGTAAAAAAAGCTGTACGAAAAGCGAAAAATGATTTATGGGACAACAGATGCATGCAAATCGATCAGCAAATAGGATACATTAGAACCAGTGAAGATGGAGAACTCACTGAAAACAGACAAAAAAGAAAGCGTCCCTATCACCTTCATACAGCCGAGTGAGTGGGTATGCCATTATAAACAACTGTTCACCGAAAATCGCCCAGAATTTATAAGAGAGAGTCAAGACGAGAGTATAAGTTTAGATAGCTCACTTACAGAAGAAGATTTAATAACAGAAGAAGAAGTAAGAAAGGCTCTTTTAGAGAAATGAAAAATGGACGAGCTTCTGGGTCAAAAGGAATTCCCATCGATCTTTTAAAGGATGGACCAAACTTACTCTTCCAACTACTTACATTTGTTTTCAACTGTTTCTTGAGAGGCGAACAATTACCCCCAGAATGGAAAACTGCCTACATATCGAATTTACATAAAAAAGGTGACAGGAACTTATGTTCAAACTATAGAGGACTTAGTGTAACAAACTCCCTTTCAAGACCATATGGAAAAATCATTAAAACACGAATAGAACAACAAATTCATGACATAGATGAATAAAATGGTTTCCGTGCAGGCAGATCATGCTCTGATAACTTATTCTGTTTGAAACAACTACTAGAAAAAAGAATGGCTCGGGATTCAGAAACACATATGATATAGATTTAAATAAAAAAAACCTATGACAGTGTGCCCCTCAGTAGACTGTGGCCTGCAATGTCGGAAAATAGTGTATGTAACGTCTATATATAGGCTGTCAAAAATTTGTACACTGATATGACTAGCAGCATTAAATTGGGAATGAAATTGTCGGAGGAATTTCCAATATCTAAAGGCCTACGGCAGGGCTGTGCAATCGCTCCTACCTTGTTTAAGATATACCTGAACACCACGTTAAGACATTGGACACACAGCTGCCGAAACTTGGGAATTTCTGTTGGTAATGATAAACTCTTCACAATGCACTTTGCCGATGACCAGGTCATATTTGTTGAGGATGAGGATGATATAAACTATATGGTCAGGAAACAGACCGAGGCGTACAAGTCTTGGGGTTTATCAACTAATATGGAAAAAACAAAATATCTTATCGCAGGAGGCACAAACAGAGATTTAGTCCTAGATCAGGGAACTATAAAATGTGTCGATTGCTATGAGTACTTGGGAGTAAATATAACAAAAAGTGGCACTAGTGAAGCTGAAATTAAGGTCCGCATCCGACAGAGAAAACATGGAACAAAGCAGTTAAATGGAATACTGTGGAGTACCCAAATTCTATGGGGCCGAAGTATGGGAAATGACTGATTATTTACGTAAAAAATTATTGGCAATTGGAAATGGACTACTGGAGACGCTGTTGTGTACTAACACTGCTAGACAAAATATGTAACAATGAGATAAAACAAAGAATGAAGATAGACACCACCATTGTTGACACCATCGAAGCCAAAAGTTTAAGATGGTACGGCCACGTATGTCGAATGCCGGATGATAGATGGCCAAAAAAAAATATTGAATTGGGTTCCTCCAGAAAAAAGAAAAAGAAGACGTCCCAGAAACACATGGGGAGACGGTATAAGAAACGCAATGACCCCAAGAAATCTACAAGAAGAGGACTGGAGAGACAGAAAGTGTTGGCGAGTAGGATGCGAGAAACGACTTTAAGTTGTATAAAAATCGACCATGAGATTTTCAACATTCGTCCATAACACCATGTTTCAAAAACCCCGATCATGTACATACCTGCTTTTTACATTGTCCATGCTTCTGACCCGTAAAGTAAAAACGTAGCATCGAAGCATTCTTATTCTTAGTCCGAAATTTATATCTCTGCTGCAAAGGAACTTTTTTTTCTTTACAAATGCACTTTTGGCTACCTCCACTCCACTTTTGATTCCATGAGACTGCTCCATTGTTTCGTGTTCTTAAGTATTTGCATTTTCTTACTCTTTCTATCGTTGTATTGTCTATAGTAAGAATTCCGTTAACATTTACTTTCTATGTAATAATCATGTATTTTGGTTTTCTTAAGGTTTATGTTTAGTCCATATCTTTCACATCTATCATTTAGCCTATAGCTATATATGGTACCCGCAGTCGTTGTTAATCTTAGAAACAAACGAAATGACTCGGTCTGAATGGAAACTTTTCCTTCCTCTTTCCATCACAATTGTCGAAAACATTAAACCTTAATCACCTCTCTAGGTGATGGTCCAAGTGGCAAACTCCTTCTACTACTTCTGCCCGCACCAAAACTTTTGCCACCCGTTCTGCTATCGCCGCGTAATGAGGGGTTGCACGAGACTGATAAAAGCTACGCGAAAAGTCTACGGTGAAGAGTTCGGCTTGGTGTCCGAGCAGGAGCCGAAAAAAAAGGGCACCAAAAAGGAGAAGAACCAGAACAGGAAGGTGTCGGACCAAACCAGCTCGCAAGTGTCGCCCATCAAGAGGAAAGACAGCGTCGGCAAAAAGGATAAAATCGATAGGAATCTGGACGGTTCGCAGGCGAGCAAGTTGGCGTCCAAGGAGTCGTCTAGAGATATGGCCGATTCCGACAGAGTCAACGGCTCCTCCCAGACGAGTGATGACAGCAAACCGACTGAGCCGCCTCCCATTTTAAAATACATCCAAACCCAGGTCAAAGATGGTTTCCACGCTCCCCTAGCGGCATTATTAAAGGGAGCGGTCATATTGACCGAGGACAACTTCGTCGACATAATACCCGTGGCGTGGGAACTGTTGCTCGAGATGAACCAGGAGGTGGTGGCTGCTGCCGCGTCCCTATTCATTTTGGCGGCGGTCAAAACTCCCGCGCACGTAGCAGAAATTATGCAGCACGGCCTTTCGCATTCGGAGGCGACCGTGAGGATCAACGCTATCCTGAGGTTCCAGGTCTTGTGGAAGATGCGTTTTCAAGTGTGGCCCCGCATGGAGGAAAACGCGCACGTGCTGTTTAAGGTGCCGCCACCGGGCATCGAGTTCACGTTGCCGTCGCCAAAGATCGGCATCGAGTCGCTTGATGTGGTCGACTCGCCGTGGGAGCTGTTGGTCAAGACTAAAGTCGAGGAGGTGACGATCAACCAAGAGCGGCACGTGAGTATTTAGCGAGATTTCTTTGCGTCGTTTAACGAGTCAATGTTCGCCGATAGAGGTCGCTCGTCACGGCGACCAAGACCCGCAAGAAACAACAGACTGAGCTTATCAAGATGGCGCTGCAAGCGCAAGACGACAAAAAGAGGGAGGAGAGGGAGAACTTTTTGATCACGACCATACCGATCACGACGCTAGCTGCGCACGAACCCAGCTTGCACCATGTAAGCGAGGAGCACGAAGACGGTAATCCCAATGCCCGTAGGATATCTCTACGATACTAAGGACGGTATAATCTTGTACAGACGACGACCAGGCCGAGGGTCAGCCGAGGAATGCGGGGCACCACCTCCACTCCGCCCACTCCTTGTTTCCTTCTTGTTTGTGTTCGGCGGTGATACAAATAATCAACCTCCTCGACGACGCCGCCGTTTCTTCGGAAGGCTGCGCCGTATACGAAGTGGCGTACTCGTTAATTTGGACGTGCCTCGTCGAAGACAGCGCCCTCTTCCTGCGCTACGTTCTGGAACGACTGACTCGCGAAAAACAAGACCAGATGTTTAAGATTTTGCGGCACCTGATCCGGTTCATACCGAAGCTGCCCCAACAGGCCGCGTTTGCCTTGTACAACCATATCATCGGTTACGTCATGTTCTACGTCCGTAGTCCCCACGAAGACGGGCAACTGCTCATCGGGTCCGCGCTTTCGATACTGTGGATGGTGGGTTTTGGTTAGAGTACTCTGCCTCCGGGCGTTTCTGAGTGCGCGCCATCTTGCAGGTGGTGCACAGCGTCCACGGTATAATGTTCAAAGACTTGAAGCAGATCCTACGTAAAGAGCAGTGCGACGCGTCCATATTGTTGACGGCTAACGTGCCTTCGGCCAAGAAGATCATCGTTCACGGACCTCAAGGTGAGCCACGATTCTTTTTTAATGATTTTACAGAACACGTAGGAAATGAAAGTGGTCTCAAGGGCGTTGGGATTGGTTTAAGACTGTGTTGACCCTATGGAAAAGACTTTAAACACGACCCCGCCAAATATTTTTGTGAAGCAAAAGCAGGGGCAGTCTGTCTGGCATTTATCATGGTTAATTAGCCATAATAACAATAACATTTTTTGAGCTTCTCTCCTTTTTAACTTCTCTCTACATCATGTTCTAAATAACATACCAACTTTGGTAATTAGTAAAAACAATTACTGAAATTGGTTGCCCTTTTCGACGTCCATTATATCTTTTAGACCCGGGAGCTGCGGGAATACCGTCCCAGTTTCCGGTGCAAGAGGACACCCAGTTCTGTCAGATTTTGCGGGAGGCGTTGGATTTCTTCGGCATCGATGAGGACAAGCACGACGAGTACTTCTTGGTCGACTTCAAGACTCGTTAGTGCGCTCTCCTTTTTTTTTATAATAGCGCCAATTAGTCTGACGTTTCCGTAGATCAGATCAGAAACCCTTCCGCGTACGTAAGAGATTATTACTTCTTTAAGCGGTCCCAATATCCCCAGCTGGAGCTCACCCACATGGAGCCGGAAAAAGCGTTCCATGCGTTGCAAAAACAGGAAGTGGTTCACAAATTCGTCGAGATCGGTAAAGTTCTTCTGACCTGGGCCATATTGAAAAACGTCGACATGGCAAGTCATCCCGGCAGACCCATACGCGATTATTCACTTCTAAACTTCTAGGTAGTGCAACGGGTGGTATTTCTTCACGAAGAGCTGATGAAGTTACCGTCCTTTCCCAGGAAAGCTCTGGAGTCCGATCTGGAGCTGTACAAGAACGGTCCCTTAGGCAAAGAGCTCCTAGGTCTCGACGTGCTGCATAAGTTTATGTGGGTGAGGCTCATCGCTAGGATGTTCGAAGCAATGGCCGGCAATTTCGCATACTCCGGCGACATTCACTTGTTTGTCAACGTGCTGAACGGCGCTCTGATTCTCCACTCAGAGGACGCGTGCATCTTGCGATACGTCATGGCGACTTATATCAACGCCGCGTTCAACTTCAAGAATATATTTTCAACCAACGGGCAAGTACTTTTTACTCTGGTAATAATAAATAGCCTAAATTAAAATATAACAAAAAGAATGAACCATAATAGAGTTCAACAGGTGCCGAAGTCTAACAGCGTCAATACAACCACCTAATTCACAATTTGACAATTTTAAACAAATCAAAGGGGGATAAATGTAAAAAAAAAGAAAAAAACAGACACTGGAAAAGCAAGGGCTATATTCAAAAACGACTAAAAGAAAATGAAAGAAAAACAACAAGCAAAAAAAAAAATTAAGAAAATAATAATAATAATCAGCGGTTCAACCTCTCCTCAATCTCACCAGCTGTTTTAATTTCTTTTTAAATGTAGGAAGTGAATTGTAAGTTTTAATAGCATTATACGTGAAAGAGCTCTGAAACGCAGTCGTACTATGCTTGGGAACATAGAACAGGTTACGATGACGACTACCCCTGACCAGTCTATCATAGAGCTTTTCGTACCTAATAATTTTATACACTAACGTAGAGAGACTTTACCACTGAGAATCCTTAAGTGTCGATCTTATATGACCAAATCTACGAGTATCTCAGGCAGGCATTTTGCAATTTTTGTAAGATGTATTGATCTTTCCGTCTTAGAGGCGGCCAGTATATAGCGTCCCAATAAAGAGAGTATAAGAGAGTCACACAATTTAAGTCTAATCTCAGTAGATAAGTAGTCTTTATACATGTAAAGTGCTTTCAGTTTCCCGTAAGACTTCTGCAGTAAATAAGACAAGTGAGGATCAAAAAGCAGCTTACTATCAAAAAAGCACCATTGAATAAAAGTTTCAGATCATTATACTGGATAATTTCCTCTTTTTGATTGCCAAAACGAACAACCTTGAGGCCAATTTTAGATAGATGTTTCGAAATTTTCTTGCTAGGTTCTATATATGGGATAGATAGAGTTGAGAGTTATTTGAAACTGTATTGAAATAGCATTTGGTCGCTAAAAAATTTGTTCGCGCTGGATTCCACACGACATCAGCTCAATAAAAGGCTCGTGTTGATTGGTCGAAAGAAAGGCTAAAAAAATACTAACGCGGTGCTTCCAATCACATCTATGACATCGTAACGTCGGACTATGCATATGAAGCTGAAAGGAAGCAGCAATCGACTGTGTGAGTCTTTCAGAATGAGACAAAGCCCACAAAAGGTGTTCGTGCGCGAAGCACCTCCAAACAAATGGTAGCCTGTTTCTTCGGGAAAACTGGCCACCTTGCAACGGTTTCTCTGGTGAATGGTAAAACAGTCAATTCTGAATGGTACACAACCAAAGTCTTCGAAGAAATTAGAAAATCCTACCGCCGAAGACCAATCACTATTGCAATGCTAGCTCTCGCCGATCAGCGCAAACAAAGAGGTTTTTGAGCATTTCATTTAGCACCTAATGACTTCTTTTTATTCCCATACATTAAGAACAATTTACGTGGGCAACGGTTTTTGACACCAGATGAAGCGATTGATGCGTTGGAGGTTTTGGAGGTGTCCCAATCGATGACGAAAAGTGCTTTGATGATTGGTTTTAGCGAATGTAAAAGTGTATTGCACATCAGGCTGAATACTTGGAGAAACAATATAGTTTTTTACTAATTTTTTACAAATCCCTTATCCCTGGTAGCAGTTTCGATGCAGAGCGAGAATGCGAAAAGTTTTTTTCGTAGATATCTGTTGATAATGCCGACCCTACTGAAGATCTACTCCAATCACCAAACGAACAAGCTGGTGACGACCACGATCGAATACGCGGTAAAAGAATTCTACACGATGAACAGGAAACCGTTCATCCTGCAGATGTTCGGCTCGGTATCCGCCATGCTCGACACGGACGAGGAAGGCACGTATGGGAACGCCCACAAGATCCAGTCCAGCTGCCTGTTCAATCTGTTGTTGAGCTTGGAGACCCCGTCGCCCGACCCGTTGAACATCGCCGAGCTCGTGAAGGAACCAGTGAAGGCGATCGATTTCTGTTACCACGACGAGGACAACGACGTTACCATCCTCGATTGCATTTCCATGTGCGTAATGGTAGTATCGTATTCGGCGGAGAGCAGCAGGGGATACCAGATGTTGGTAAGCGGGTGCGGAAGCGATTGCGTATACTTTAAAGGCAAATGGGGCGCTGTTCAAGGTGATTTTGGAGGCGATTTTGCCGTACTACGTGGACCAGATTCGGAAACCGGCCTACATAAGCAATTCGATCAAAAAATTCAAGAAAAACGAACGCGATATCATCCACCAGTTGTCGGTGGCGTTGCGTTGCCTGATTGAGAATTGTGCCGAGCTCACCAAGTAAGCGGTTTTATATTCTGCGATATTCGGTCGTTATTCCACGATAGTGTACAGATTCATTGCATAAAGATTCTGAGGGCCGCCCTGTGCCCTCGAATCGAAAAGTATAGACCTTAGATAAATGCGGAATTTGATATGCCAATTCGACCGACACGATACACGAAGGCGAATAATCACATGATTTTGGTAGTTTAGAGTAAAAACCGCGTACGACATTTCTATGAATATTTTTCTAACAGAACTATACGGGGTGTTCTGAAATTAATGCAGCCAAGTTTTATAGCATATTCTATATCGAAAATAAGTCCTAGTTGCCTATATAAACAAATGTCCGGAAAAGATTTCTTTCCATTATACGGAGTGTTCTAAGAAAAAAACCACTCTAGATACTTTATCGACATATATAGACCAAAATATAGATATTCTTTAACACATGTAATATACTGGGTGCTTAATTTAAAAAAAATATGATGTGGGCTCATATGTCAGAAAATTGATAGAGTTTCGTTTTATACGTCACTTGAAAAAAATTAAAAACTTGGCTATTAACCCTACATATTGTTTTTTTGTTTACCTTTATATCTCTAAAAACATCTATCTGTCTCTTGATATCTCTAAAAACAAAGAAGTTACAACGCACGGTACAAGTGACGTCCGTATTATTAGGTTTTTAATCTTTGTCGAATTTGCCATACACCAAATTGTTTTTTATTTTTTATTTTAAAACGTACGGGAAAAAGTCTATAGCTCAAATCTGTTCCAAATTGAATCGGTATACTGTTTGAGTTGAACCATTTCTTGCTTAAAAATATATTCCATACAAATCTGGTACGGACTTCACTGATAACTTAAAAAAATGTATTTCGCATCAAAAAGGTCTTTTGCTGCTTGAAAGCAGTGTACAGAATTTCAACGATAAAAAAAGTATTTTTTTAGAACTTTAACGTGCATTTTTGGACTATGGACTATTTTCGAGGTAAAGCATGCCATAAAAAGTTGGTGTATTAATTTTGGAACTCCCTGTATAGGACACCACGCGGAATCGTTTTTTGAAGAGTAATTTTCGAAACACATATATATATATATATATATATATATATATATATATATATATATATATATATATATATATATATATATATATATATATATATATATATATATATATATATATATATATATATATATATATATATATATATATATATATACATATGTTTCGAAAGGGTCGAGGGTCACAAAGAGAAACCCAAGCGAGGTAGGCCTGCGTTTAGATCTTCATAAAAATTTACCAAAGTTAAATACCGGATTACGCCGTAAAACCCGTATATGGTTCCGTGAACTTTACGTAATCACTTAATACTTACTTTCTTCGCGATGTTCGGGATTACGGATTGACATCCAGATTCACAAACCGGCGTCGGCATCGTACTACACAAGCATACTCGTTGTCCGTTAGCCCGTTGTTCTTTATTATTCACTACAACACTTTCTATGGTCTTTAGTAGAGTTAAACGTACGGTTTTACTTCAAAACTAAGCGAAATTAACAAACACGACGCCATGACTCGGTTATTTGACGCGATTAAATGATACGTCAGCGCTGTGAAATAATGTCAATCGGCGATCACGGCGCTCTAGATCACACCCTATAAAATCGCAACCGAATTAAAATGTTTTAACGCATATATAACGCAAAATTTAATCGTAATGTTGAATAGGTGTTGTTTTCCTTGCTCATGTTTAAGTCCAAGACCGTATTATAGTCCCAGTAGCAAAACCACACCACAAGGTGGCCCTTATCTCGAAAACTAGACTTATAGAGAACAATATTTTCAGAAGGTCTGTTCAATATGCACATGCACGCGATTTGAAATTTCGCTTTTAACCAATGGCACCTCTAATTACAAATTCTGACGTTCGATCCATGAGGCATTGCGGCTTTCAACAACCAACATGGCCGCTGGCAGGTCGTCAACGTTTGGATGCTATATTTTTACGGCAGCATTTTCACAAAATATGTCGAAATCCTATTAAATTTTCAGGCAAAAAAGGAATTAAGGTGTGAAAAGCGTTGTAAAAAAAATTAGCGACAAGTGCATGGTTATTATTATGCTGAATTACAGCATACGGATCGGCGTCTTTAATATAATCCTGTAAGTAGTTTGGGTTCTTTAAGCCCTATAGACACGATACTAGCTATTTTCTCCCGAATTTGTGCCCGTAAATAGGTGCAAACAGTTTGTTTAACCTCCATTGAAAATGTAAATACTAGATATCGCACTGAAAACATCTAAGTGGAAAAAATGTTCAACAAGCCCCTCATATAGACAGAACGCCAAATTTTTCATGGCACGTCTAGCAATTGCAGAAAGTTTCGCCACCCAAATATATAATTATGAAAAGTACCAATTGACAATTTCATAAAAAAACTCTAGGTATTGGAAAATGTAGCCAAGAAAATTAAAAACTAATATAAAACAAGTCAATAAATAATTAGCCCTAAATGTAACAGAATTAACATTACCAAACCCTGAAAAGTGTAGTTTATTGTCTCAAAAATTTAAAAAAATTAAAAAAAAATTAATTTAAAAAAATTAGTCAATTTTTCAGAAAAATTACGGCATTGTGACAATTCGGTTAGTTGGAGGTGACGCATGCGCACCTTCTCTATGAAAATGTCATAGCCACCTGAGGCGCATCACTTTTTACTGTAATAGGGCCACTATATTATCTTATAGCTATATGTATTTTCTTAATTGTCACTTTTTGATATACAGGGTGGTAAAACAAAGTTACATTTTTTTTAAATAGAACCTCCTACTTTTTATTGCATTTTTGGTTAGTCCTTTCAATGATTCAATGAGTATGGGTCTGTGATGCACCGTTTCGAACTTATTAGCATCATCTTCAGAATCCGTGATATTTTTTAGTTTTTTGTTAGTTAACTTTTCTTAAATGAGACACCCTCTATATTATTAGATTTCGAATAGCCATTTGAATAGCAATTTCAATTATATAACATAGTACGGCTATCTGATTTACTATTTTGTCTCAATAATACATAAATTCTTTTACATTCATAATTTAAATAACTGAGGTCCACTCAATTGGAAAAAAATATCCATAATCTCAATAATATAGACCACATGTCTTAAAAAATATAAAGAAATCTGCCTGTTGAAAGACACAAACACAAAATTGATGATATTATTAATTTTAATCATCGCAGTAGCTTTGAAAACAATAGTAGTTCTCTGTTGCGGTTATATTACTGATTTTTTGACAGTTATCAGTGTATTATAATATTTGAAGCATATTCTTTTAGCCTTTCACTATTTGCTATTTATTTCATGAAGTTGCGTTTTTGTTGAGTCTATTTTGATTAATGTATACGAGAGGAAAAACCTGACCTATTAGAATGTTACATCGCCAATAGCAAAAGTTGTTCTTAGACAGTACAGAGTACGATCTAAGAACGATCTTAGATGAAAATATGTAGCTATAAATAATAAATACTCCAGAGAGCTCTACATCTGAAGCGGCAAGGCGGGTGGAGTTCTCCGGAGTAAGACGAATCGCGCTTCAAACATGGTTAAAAATTAACAGTTATGAGCCATTTAAAATAACATCAGTTCAAAAACTACAAGAAGCAGATTTTAACTGAAGACTCGAATTTAGGCATTTTTTAGATAACGTATTTCAAAACATAATGTGGACAGATGAAGCAATATTGACAACAGTTATTTAATAGAAAAAATACGCATTATTAGAGTTCAGAAAATGAAAAATGTGTTTTTGAAGTAAACCAGCAGGGACGAAGATCCGTGAACGTATGGTGCGCAATCTGGTGATCTAGAATTTTAACATCCGTACGATATTTAAACTTATTAACGAACGAAATTCGGCCGTTTACATAATATTATTCCCCAAAGAGATCATTCAAATTTAATTTGGCAGCAAGATGGCGCTCCTTACCATCGAAGTGCTGCAATCACTTACGTCTCGACTGCCATATACCATTTAGAAATAGCATATACTACATGCATCCTTCAAAACGGCGGACATATTGAAAAACATTTCACGCAGACATTTAAACGTAGAAATAAGTAATTTGCGACATTTGGCAACATTGTGCGAAACGTAATATTCTGTTTTTAATATTCCTAGTTTCATATCTTAATGATTTAAGCCAATTAAGCCAAAACTGTAAGTTAGAGACCCGCACTATATTATATAATTAAAATTGCTAGCTATTAAAGTGGCTATTCGAAAATCCAATAATATACAGGGTGTCCCATTTGAGAAAATTGAGAAATGTATCATTTTAAAAAAATATTTTAAATATCGTCTTTGCCTAAAGAAACGCAAGTTTAAAAAGTTAATAAACAACAAAGCAATGATGGTTTAAACATATCCCGAATTCTGAAGATGATCGCTAATTAGTTCGAAACGGTGCGTCACAGACCCGTACTCATATATGACGTTGAGTTTATCTTTGAAACGGCTATCCAAAAATGCAATAAAATGTAGGGCGTTCTATTTAAAAAAAAGGTAATTTTGTTTTACTCCCTGTATATAAAAAAATGGCGATTAGGAAAAAAAAGGTCATTTTAATAGAAACAACTTTTTTACCGCTGATTAGCCGCTCCGTGGCACGCCATGATGCATCGGCCAGTGCCTGTCGGTCAAATTGGCACATACGGAAGTAATTCAGACGCAAAAATTTAGCGCGAAATTTAAAATACTCTAGCTGCTTGGAGCACTCCGAAAATGTCCGGACTCCTATTAACGATTAGATTCAGTTTTGATTTTTTTTGTCCACTCGTCATATCGAATGACGGAGGTTCATTTTGCAAGACTTAGATTAGATTGACTGTTTTAGCGGGTAGTTGCTTGTGCAAGCGGCGAGCATCTCACAGAAAGCGAACGAAAACAAAAAAAAATGCTACCCCCATACGACAGGCCCATCGCATCATGCTTTAACGTTTTCTGTCTTTTGTTTTTGCAGATTCAGTTCGAAAAGGTAGGTGGTGTGCGTTCAGCTTTTCTCAATTTTATGATTTTGGTTTCGTAGCGGCGAATTTTAAACGTTTTTTGTGCGTGCATTGAGTACTCAGAAAGGTGGAAAAATGGTTAAATGGGCAATTTTGTGGTAGTTTAAGAACGTCTGCGGCTAGCTTTCAACGTTCATCGTTTTTGAGATGTCTTGAAAACTCAAAATCGTTATTAAGTCAAGTTAACTATCCTGATTTTTTAATAGAAATAAAATAAAATAAAAATACAATACTTTTAACCCAATTTTTGCAAAATTTTGTAGTTTTCACGGAGGCACGATAAAAGGAGTTTTTATACTTGCTTCTTAACAACGCATGAATCAAAAATACCTACCTAAAAAATATTATTCTACTTCTAAATGGCGCGGAGTAATATACATGCTACATATGGCGACTCAGCAATAATTTATACTCTTAGTTTACCATTGAAATTAAGTCAAACGCATTTAGAACCACTTGGTTTAAAAAAAAAATGTAACGAAATTTTATTTTGCAAAAAATTCAATTTTCCTGAACATCGACGAGGTTTGTTTGAGAAACCACCACTGTATGTGGCAGCTAAAATGTATCAAAAATTGCCAGTTCAATTAACAATACAATAATATAATTAATAGAAAATTGTTTCTATAATAAAGATGGATATCTGCTCGTCACGTTATATACGAGGTGTGTTCAAAAAGAAAGGTGACTGTTTTAATTGGGAGGGCTACGAACTTTCATTCTTCGATTTTTTTTTTGTTATTTTGGTGCATATGTCTCTAACATGTTCACAGTTTCCGTCAGTTTCCACATTTACTTTTATTTATGACAGTCGTCCTAATGGAAGAACTCAGAATCGCCAAAACCGCAAAAAGCACGTCAAGTTCTATCAAATGTGAAGATTTTGCTTACTGTTTTCTTTGATTATTGTGGAGTTCTTACCACAAGATTATACAATTAATGAAGAAAATGTCAGGAATTGTGGGAAAACTATTCATGGATTTTGCATTACTATAATGCACCTGCTCATTCGTCGTTGCTTGTGCCTAACTTTTTGGCCAAAAACAAAACCACAATCATGCCTCAGCCACCATATTCGCCCTGCGACTTTTGCCTGCTCCCAAAACTCAAAAAAACCATGAATGGAAAGAGGTTTGGAACGATTGAGGGGATAAAGAATCGCCGAAAGATCTTACGGCTGTATCAGAAGTGCTCCGAGGATTGGAATAAACGTTGGAACAGGTGTATTATATCTGGAGAGGTGTGGGTGGTTATTTTGAAGAGGCCAACATTAATTTTGATAAATAAATAAATACTTTTTGATGACACTTCAAAGTCACCTAATTTTTTCAGCACACCTCAAGTATTATTCAAATTTGTTATCCGTTTTTGGTATAAAATTTCTGTAAAGGATCGACTTTTCCTATACCAATTGTAATTCTGTCTTTGGAATAAAGATATTTGCTTTGATTGAACTTATGATGGCGTTTAAAATTTGCCGGCTACCATGCAAGTAACCGTTCGACAGACTCTGCGTCCGGAACTCGCACTCCCACTAATGGTTTTCTCTCTAGAGTTTACAACGGCCCCTACAGATCTAGCCCGGAGCACAAAGGCTCCAGTCAGAGGAACTACCGCGGTCCTTATTCGCCCACAGCGTTCGATTTCGAAGACGATTCCCACTCCAAATTCATGAGCGAACATTGTCGCGCGAAAAGTATGTACGAACACGACACCGAAGACTCGGAGATAATGCGGGCGGAGTACAGGAGACCCCGAGATGTTCTTTTGTCTCTGGTAGGGGAGTTCATGTACAAAGTGTCGGACAGACTCAACGAAATCAACAAAAAGGAGGCCGACGGGAAAGTGGTGGAGATCTTGGACTGCAGGTCGCACGTGGTAAGATCTGGCGACGCGGTCTAGATGGTCGGAGGTTGAGTAACGACGTTTGTAGAGGCTCGCCGATATAGCCCACGCCCTTTTGAAAGTATCCCCTTACGACCCGGAGTCGATGGCTTGCCGCGGCCTGCAGTATTATATGACTTACGTCCTACCGTCGACCGATTGGAGCGACGACTCTATGAGAGCAGCATTCGTCACCTTGCTGAAGAGGCTGGAGAAAGTGTTCACTAAGATTCAGAAGAAACCTTCTATCCGGGTACGTCACAATGCTTGAATTTTGAGTTTTTTTTTATGAAAATGTGTCTCTAGAGAAATACGGATTGGGATGCGGCAGCTGGTTTGTTGAAGGGTGTGTACAACACCATGATTAAGTACCCCTACATCATCAACTGGCATCAGATAAAGCAGTTAATATCGGTCTGTCAGGTTAGTGATTTTTGACAAAAGAAACGTTTTTTCCCTTAACGTCGATCGATTCCAGAGCTTAATAGTGACCGAATGCTGCTTGGAAGGCGTTTCCGGGGCGACGGCGGCGATTTTAGGTCAGGCGCCGCCTCCAAACTTCTGCTCGATGGTGGTGCGCCTGATATCGCTCCAAATACAAAGCACCCAGGACTCCGGGTCGCTGGAGACGGTCTGTGGCGGCTCGGTGTTCCCCACGCAGGAGAAAACGGAAAGCATGATCATAAACCTGGTGATGCCTCTTTGTTTGAGAGTGGGCAGCGGCAGGAAAGACGTGCCCCAGATGAAGAAGTCGGACGTGAGCTTCGCCATTACGCTGGTCCTTCACGCCATGAGTCCCCCGAATATGAAAACCCTCGCTCAGTCGGGGCCGAACCCAAAAGGAACGGCCGAGACCAGGACCGGGAGTTTGACTTTTACCGGCACCAGGGACACTAAGACGGCGTCGAAGATCAACAGTTCGTTATATCAAGTGTCGTTCCTGGCCTTGAAAATGATTTGTACGTAATTTGGCGCCCTATATCCGACATGCACGAATAACGACGTGCAATCTTTTGCAGCGATCTGCTTCGAACAAGAACTGATCCACGACTGGATGAAAATCGGACGGACGATGAGGGAGCTGGGCAAGAGGAACGAAGCCGCCACTTACCTGTGGGACTTTCTAGATTTCGTCGTCACCCACCGTACCCCCTTGTTCATTTTGATGCAGCCCTTCATTTTTCTCAAGCTCGCGCAACCCCCGATATCCGATTTCGAGCGCAACATGCACCAGAAAATACGCGACAAGATCCGCTGCATAGGATTGCCCCTGCCCAAGAGCAAGGGGGCCGTCCTGATGGAGCTCGCCAACCGTATGAAGCAGTTGAAGGAGGAGCTGTCGGAGTGTAAGTCGTCGTTCTCTACGATTTTGGTGACTACATGAAGACGTTGCAGCTACCGACACGTCCAACAGCTCGAAGAAGGATACAGCGCCACCGACGGTGCAGATGACGACGGAAACGACACAACGTTCCCAAAGGCAGTCGCTGATCGGCCTGCTTACGGGAGATCTTCACCAGAGAAGCGCCGCTCACGAACCTTTCCAAGCCCACATCAAAGGTATTTGGCCACTGATCTCCAGATTTTCTAGTCTGCATTTAATTTCCCGCTTCGTTACGGACAGACAATTGAATTCTTTTTTAAATTACATCAACTCAATACATAATCGTATAAAATTCACTATCGAAATTGAACAGGATAACTTTATTAATTTTTTAGACTTAACTATTACGAAAGTGCAAAACAAATTAAATTTTTCAATATATCATAAACCTTCACACAAAATGGCTGCATTTAACTCTTTTATACACAGACTTCTTAATACGCCACTCTCAACAGAAAATTACAACAAAGAACTTAATATCATTAAACAAATAGCACTGAACAACGGCTACAATCCGTGCATTATAGATGAAATTATAAATAAAAAACAAATACAGACAACAGTAAACTCTATTTATCCGAAACCAAATACAGAACACGAACAATTTAAAACAATTGCGTACATAGGAGAACCTAGCGAAAAAGTTTGAAAACATTTGTCAAAATGTGGTTTAAAAATAGCTTTCAGAACTAACAACGCAATAGGAAAATATTTAAAAAACAATAAATCGAAATGTCCAAAATCCCAAAAATCAGGTGTCTACAGGTTGAAATGTGGATCTTGTCCTAAAATTTATATTGGACAAACAGGTAGATCCTTCAAGAAACGCATTAACGAACCTAGAAGAGCGTTTAAAAACAATTGTCTACATTCTAATTATGCTACACACTTAAACACAGAAAAACACATTTTTGACGACAATTTTGATATATTACACACAGTCACAAAAAGTAGAAAATTAAATTTATTGGAAGCCATGGATATTAACAAAATGAGACATTCAAATGTATTGCTTAACGATCAATTAGATTTAAATACCTCTCCTTTATTGAACTTAAATTCTCACAACAACATTAATTAAGGTTTTATGGTCAATTGAGGAATAAATGCGGTAAGGGCGTTTTCCAGAGCATCAAGACATTCAAGTTCGCGGTCTAGACCCATCGCTCTCCCTTCGATCTTAATACTCAGTCATAATTTTGACGGTCACGCTTAACATTTAGTTAGTTAATGCGTGTGGGGTCTATAGGTTCCTCGTCCAATACGAGCCACGTATCTACTCCGGTGCAGAAGACAGCGACAGGTAGCGACGAGCACAGTGGCAGCGGTACCGGGGGGTCGACCCCGTGCAACGCCCAGGGTGAGTGCGTGAACCTCTATCTTTTTCGGTGTAAACGGTGCTTTTTGTAAATATAAATACCCCGGTTAAAAAAGATGAGAGTTTTAAAGACTGCGCCGGTAAGCGTGACCATATATAGTCTGGCCATTTCGGAGAGACCAATAAAACGATCAAAAAATCTGATTGGTTTCTCGGTCTCACAATTTCGTTTTCTGACACTCAATTTTCTGTCCTTTCGAAACTGTAGTGTCCAGAAATATTTTTTATTGTTCGTTCAATAAAAAAAAATTACCCAACTGCGTATACCGTACTGCAGAATACAAAACAGCGATCATTTGAAAATAATTTGAATTTTCGAAACTGATCTTGTTTGGGACAAATTTGTATTTGAATACAGTCTGTCCCACTTAAGAACCGCACCCCTTGTAAAGTCTTTATTTATTCTTTGAATTTGATATATTTTTTATTGGATAGGTCTTTGAAAATTGCTCTAAAACCTGAGACTGAGACTATTTCACAAAAGAGAGAAGTGCTATTAGGGATTTTTTAAAAAATAAATGGGCATCAAATTATTTTTTATTTTTTGTCACGCTTAAGGCTGTACAACGTTGTAAAGTCTTTGATTACGGTTTGATTATGATATTTTTTTTTTTGATAGATCTATCAAAAACGCACTAAAACCTTATACTTCTTATTACATCAACCTGAAGTCATGGCTCCTTGGGACTAATTTTTGATGTCAAAAATCGAGAAGGTCTGTTAGGGATTTCTTTAAGAATAAAGTGTCATTTCTTATTAATATAGTTGGGTTCTAAGTACTCCTGAATAAGAATTCGTTTGCCAATTTACTTATTTAAAAATCCCTAACAGTACTTCTCTCTTCTCTCTCTTTTATTAAATAGTCCCAGTTGGTCATGACTTTAAGATGAAGCAATAAGCAAAACAAGGTCGTAGTGCATGCAAAAAATCAAAGATTTTACAAGGGTGTACAATTCTTAAGCGGGACGCACTGTAATGATTATTATTTGCTTTAAATTTTGACAAAATGATATTCTGTTAACCAAAAAAATATTTTATGAAATGTCTAGCGCATAAAAAATAATCATTTTTAATAATATAAGAGAGGACATTTGAACTACTCGTGAATTGGATGTAGTAGCGTATCAAATTCAAGTCAGATTTCAACAATTTTGGCCATTGGAGACTAGTGATGTCCGGTAATAACCATTGAGTTGCGTAGGAGTACTTTTGGTGACGTCACTTTCAAAGTCAATTTGACATGGTTTTTGGATCGCAATACTGACCGGTCTGCGCTGCCTGTGAAATTAGAAGTGCCTTTAAAGTTCTCATCGCGAGAGTCGACGACTCCCGAACCCGTCTCGATGTGTTTTCTGTAAATACGGGTCCGTCTATGTTTTGGGCAAACGGTCGAAATAGTTGTTATTTTTTGCACGAGCCGCTTACATTTTTTGATAATTTTGCATCGAGTGTATACCGTTACAGCGGTCGCAAACCTATACCTCTATGACCGATAGGGAACTCGGCAGGACTCGCAGGTTATTTTCCACCGTTGCCTTTCTCTTATTCGGTGCGGACCTTTGATACGTCGGATCGGCCTAAAAGATCCGCACCAAGAATCGAGCAGAGATAGATGTCTAGATGTGTTGTTTTGCATGAGTTGTTTCAGATCGTTCATCGCAAAAGTCGTCGGCCAGCGACAATCACGCTCCATCCCTTAAAAATGAACCTCTTATATCTCATAAGGCTCACAAGCTACGCTTTGTTTCTTCCGTAGAATTTAGACATTCTTCAGGTAACTTCACAATGCGCTTTCGGTAGCTGATGTCCCCGCGACCTCGATACGACGTCACTTTGAAATTACCTCGTAAATAGTCTTTATGACGTCATCGCGTCAGCTGGCGACTGGAAATTTGCCTCGACTCAAAGGTACGTCAGCTACCAGAAGAAATCGTTTTGACGTTATACGTTAGTTTTATGGATGTTGTCGGCAACACGCTTGTTGAATTGTCGACAATTACGGGGAGTTTCGTCGCTGTGTCTTCGTCTCTGTCTTTTCGAATTTAACCTCGACCTGAACTTTATAGAAGGTTCGTGAATTTTCAATAATACACAACTTTACTGTACTTGGGCGATCTGTTATTAATAAAACTGTTAAATATATTCCACATGACGCATTAACATCTGTTCCTATTTATATTCAACTATTTTTTTCGCCAACTTGGTTAAACAAGCTAAACAAAACTAAATGTTATTACACAATTGTACCCTACAATACTCCCCCGCAATTCCGTAATACAATATAAACATTGCCTTTTAAAATGAAAATAACTTTGTTTAAAACCTCTTGCCGCTAGTCTAGCTTTCTTCTTCTTTCTTCCCCAATCTTTTCACCCACTTTGAGTCAATAATTTCCGCCCCTCTTCGCGGTACAACTAACTTCCATGTTTCATTTTCTTTGAACGTATTTAATTCTTCTTTTATGGCATTTTTCCATTCACAGCCCCGCACAACTGCTTCTGAATATGGTTTTGGCATATCTGCAAATAAATCTCCCGTTGAGAGTGCCGCAAAGAAATTCATATCATCTTCTAGTTTATAGTCTTGTATGTGCTTTGGTGTGTTTGATCTCTCTTCCATTTCTTTATCTTTTCCATTTCTTGTCATTTTCGGGTTTTTCTTCGTCGCTCTCACATATAATAGGTATTATTTGGTTTTCTAATTACTTGCTCTGTTCATCAAAAATTATATTCCTTCAATGTACAATCTTGCGTTCCTTCTCGTTCCACAATGGATATCCATTGTCTGCATATCTAACCATAATCATTTTTCCTGATTTTAGGTTTTTCCATATTCCATAGTTCTGCTGGGTTATGATTTTCTAATACTCTTGTTTCTAGTCTATTTAGCAAATACACACTTGTTCGGACAGGTTCTCCCCTAGTTTTGCATCGAAAATGAAGCCTCTTGCCTTTTCCATAATTTCCATAATAATTTCCTCGATTATATGCTACTGTATATTGAAGTTTTATTCCTTTCTAATCGCAAAATAATTTGAATTCTCTTGAAACTTAACTTAAATTTTTCTAAAGCTTCGCTTTTGTTGCTCAACAAATAGGTAACTCAAAAATGTGAAAAGTGATCAATGAATGTCATGAAATATGACTTACCATCATGAGTGGTTTGGTTTTGTTGTCCCACAAATATCCGTTGACACTGTTTCCAAAACTCTTTTTGCTTTTATTTCTTGGTGAAGGTCTTCATATGGTATTTTGGATTGTTTTGCTTTCATATACACTTGGGCGTGTCTTAGCATTTTTTCCTCTTCACTTGTCAAATTTGCAACATAAATTGAAGTTAACACAATAGAGTTTTCCTTTTAATTTTCCCTTTGCCGCACATACTTTGTTTTTTACTATACTTTTCCTTTTGTAAAATTCACTTCCAGCCCACTTTCTTCTAGTTTTCACAAACCCACACGTTCTTAATTGTCATTTCCCTTAAGAATTCTGTTTCTACCTCTAGATTTCCCTGTTGTGTTGCTGTTATTGTCTGTCTCCGATTTGCCACACTTTCTTATGCTCAATCTCTTCTTTTATGTCTAATCTTATTGCATAAATGGCACCGAAATGGAAAGGTTTCCCCTCATTGTAGTCACCGCTACTTTGGTTAGAACTGACATTATATGTTCCACTAAGCCTCCTCCAATTTTCTCGTCTTCTTTGGATTCTTGACATAAATACCGTGTTAGTATTTTCTTCTTTTAACTTTGTCTGTCTGGATTCTTCCACAAGCGATTTGTTTTTCACAAAGTCGGCATCAATTGCCTTTTGATTTTGGCAGAACATAAGATCAATCGCTGTTGTAACATTTTCAACAAATTCTGGCATAGCTACAGGATTCGCTCGTCTTTATCAATTTTTCCACCTGCTATCTGCTTCTAACTCGCATACTGTGTTATCAAAAGTTGCAAAGAATTTACTTAGTGCTTAGTACTTAGCGCCCTAGCCTTTACATCATTTTTACATTACATACAAAATTCGGAAATTTTGCATTTTTTTCCGTTCTGCTTCTCTACGTATTCTTTTCTCCTTAACCTCACACACTGTTCCTATCGGTTCCGCAGTTATTTCCTATTTATATTCAACGATTTTTTTTCCCAACTAGCTTAAACAAGCTAACAACAACAAACAACAACAAACAAAACTAAACGTTATTACAGAATTGTACCTAAGAATGCAGATTCCTACAATCAACTTGACCCCCATCAGAAACTTTTAGGTAAAAAAGCGTTACGCGCTGTTGATTTGGCTGGCGCTTTGATAAAGATCCGTAAACACCCCGTATTGTCCGTGACGAACATCGCCACGCACCGAAAGCTAGAAGTTCTTATCGTAGAACACTTCTACGCCAACTCAAAAGGTCCCGCTTCCTAGGTGAAACTTCGACGACACCGTTGAGTCCCTCGAGTCCCGTAGGAGAGTGCGCGGGCGAGTCGCAGCAGAAGTCGCGCCTGCAACGGATGATGCCGCAAAGCAGGAAGACGTTTCGCCTGCGAAGCCGTAGCAGGTCCAAGAAAACCGACGTAATTTATTGCCGGCACCGCTTCCAGCGTATACCCCTCAACCTCGCCTTTCAGATCGCCCACCTGAAGCTGGACTCCGAGCTAGGCTCGCCTCCTCAACCGCAGACGTTCATCCAACAGCCCTCGAACGAGGTTCAGTCTCCGGCAGAGTCGCCCAGAGCTCTTCAACCGCCACTTCAGCCTCAGCCGAGTCAGGCTGCGCATCAGTCTCAGAACGTGTTAGACTCACATCGACTGCGCATCGCCACCAGAGGAAAGTCTGCCGACGGATCTTGGGACGAAGATTCCGCCATCTCGCAGACTTCCAGCACGTCAGGGTACAGGTTGGTCGGGGTCTATCTTCTTGTTTTAATTGACGCGCTTTGGTACTCACGGTCTAGGTGGTGAATTTTCAGGGAGTCGTATCCGGTGATGCACCTAAAAGACACCCTAGAGTTGAGCCCGAAAACATTCCCGCCGCTGGCGTCGCCAGAGCTTCACTCGTTGCCGTCAACCAGCAGCGCGGCGACCAATAATTTTCTTCACTTCGATAATAGCTCGCCCGACTGTTCGTTGAACGAGAATGGCGAAAAAACGGCCCTGCTGGGCAAAGAAGACAAGTCGTCGTCGAAGGACTCCCTGCTGATGGTGTTCGAGCAGCAGGAGCAAGACGAAACCACCTTGATCTAGTGGGGCTAAGGGGGGTGGAGGGAGGAAGGAAAGGTAAGACTGATTGAGGTGATAAAGGGGATAAATTTGTAAATGGACACTGTTTTAGAAAAATATTATAATGATGCTAATGAAAACCGCGTAGATCTTTAAGGGCGATACTCAAGAAACGAAAAAAAAATATAAACATGCTTTGTCAAATTTCAACGTTTAATTTTTTGGTATTGCAATATTCCTTCCTTCTGCGTTGGGTTTTGTTGAGTCGAACTAGCCAAAGTTTCGGCAATCATCCTGTTGGCTTCTTCAGGGCTTGACTGAAACTGGCTCGCATTTTACTCTGTACCTGCTTTTATATTGTTTGAGGTGGGCGGAGCTAAATGATTCCCATATTGGTGACAGGTACCTGAGTCGCGGTTAAGAATGTTAGGTTTTGACCTTATATTTCTTTAGAACTTTTGATGTGTGTTCAGTGATGTTTTGAATGTAAGGAAGGACAACAGTAGCCAGTGTGGAATTGCTTTCGAGCTCATTGCTATTAGAAGGGTGTGGTGACGTGTATTTTGCGATGGAACGCTTAATATCTTTAATGTGGAAATTATTAGAGAGAAGAGCAGAGGTAAGATGGTTTTACGGCTCTGTTGATAACCGATGATTTTCGGGGCCCGATGGTGATGTGACAAGCGTAGGTTTCCTGTAAACAAAATGACCCAATGTTAGGTCTGATTTTCTATTGATAAGAATATCGAAGAATGGGAGATTGTTATTAATTTCTATTTCAATGGTAAGAAGTATGTTAAGGTGTATAGAGTTTGAATGTCTAAGAAAATCTACTAGGGATTTCTGACCATGAGGCCAAATAACAAAAGTATAATCGACGCAGCGTTTCCATCATTTAGCTCCGCCGCCCTCAAACAATATAAAAGCAGAGTAAAATGCGAGCCATTTTCAGTCAAGCTCTGAAGAAGCCAACAGGATGGTTGGCGAAACGTTAGCTAGTTCGAGTCAACAAAAACCGACGCAGGAGGAATCCAGAAGTTTTATAAAAATATTCCAGTTTTGGTTCGTTTTATATGTTAATCGCTCCCTTAAATATTTACATTCCTAAGTACGTAATTGTTAGAAAACTTATAAGCAGCGAAACTGTTTTTTAAACAACTTATTTTAATTCAATTCAATTAACAATAATTTCCTAATATTCAAAGTTATTTATTTGGATACCTACCATAAAAAATTAAGTTGTTTAAGATGGTGTCAACAATAAAAGTTAATTTTCTTAAATTGCTGCTAAAAAAATATGTTTCCATGTTTAGAAAATATATATTGAACCAATATATTCATGTGTTTTCTTGCACGCCCGTCAGAGGATTTTAGAGGCTAATATCGGTCGAAGGTAATAGAAAAAAAAACAATTTTATTACACCCTAGTGTTTGTTTTTAATACTGTCCCTCATCGCTTTCAAAAGCAACGAATTGCTCAGGTCTCGCAGGTTGTCTCTCTCCCTGGGGAACTCTATCGACAGATCGGCAATGACGTAAGAGACCACCGCCCAGAGGGCGGTCGCTTTGTCGAGCGCGTCCGGATCTAAAACGTCCATAGTATCCGCCATGGTGTGGTGGAACCAAAAGTACCTAAAAGTAGCTCTTGAATTACGACCTTCGATATAACAGAAGCGTCATACTTTTCGTTATCGTTGAGCAGGCTGGCTCCAGGAATCAACGACGTCGTCCACGAGGTGATGTCAGATCCCACCCCAGAGCTGGCCTCGGTCTGGGTAGCGTTGATGGGGGCGAGGAGCCTAAAACCTTGGACGTGTCAACTCTGTATATACCATCAACCTCTGACTTACTTTGCGATTTCTTGGATAACGCATCCGCCTCTTTTGCCAGCTGCGTATTCGATACCCAAAGGGGTGAACGTACCTTCGTCGGATTCCATCACGAACGTAAAGTCGTTCAGCTCGTTGAGGTGGGCTTCGTTGTAGCCCTCCCAACCTACCAATCCGGGTTCCTCAGCAGTCCACAACACCGCTCTGAAATATAGCATATAACCCTCCAGCGACGACATACTAATGGGTTTAGTACCTCAGGGTTCTTTTCGCTCTGAGGCCAAGAGCTTTCAAGACGACTAACGAATACCAAGATATAAAAGCTCCGCCGCCGTCGTCCATCGCTCCCACCCCCACGTCCCAACTGTCTATATGACCGGAGACCAAAACCACTTTCCGCGGTAGACTACTTCCTATTATTTCTCCAACTGAGTTCCTGGAGGGGGAGTCCGGATACGAAACGTATTGAAGATTAAGCCTGATAACTATCTTTTCTCCTCGATCCTAAAGCAATAGGTGAATACAAGCTTCCGGTACGACGAATACCCTTATAATATGACCAAAAATATAGTGCATGCTTTGTCTTTTTAAAACCCATCCTAACAAACTTGAAATTTTTATTTAAAAAGTAAATGGACTGTTTTAAATTTGATCAAGCGTTGATGCTGAGGCGTATTGTCCAATAAGTAGAACTTCTTCAAATAAGGAAGAAATTAAATAATTTCCGTAAGAAAATGGTTTATATTTTGAAGAGAGCTACACGAGAAACCAACTTCTGGAATTATTAAAAATAAAACATTTTGATAAAGACTACAGAATAGATTCGGTAGCACAACAAAACAGACATGAAGTTTTGAGATTACCGCTGTATCATTGCATATTTAAGCCGATTGAGATGATTTTGGTTTGAGTTGAAAGCGCATGTACGAAGAAATAAAACTGCAAATCTAAATCTATCTAAAATAAAATATCAGTACAAAACTGGCCTAACTGTGAAAAACGAGTAATAAACGAAGAATATATTTATCGAGAACGATTAGTGGCGGCGATTTTATTATTATTATATTTAATATTTTGTATATTAATAATGATACTATGTAAAACTGTACTGAAATAAAACGAAATAAATTGTTACTTTGTACTAATTTTTTTATGTACTTGTTTCAAGAATGGCGAAAAAGATTGATAACATACTTATATCCCGCTTGTTAGTGTAGGTAGATAAATTCCTAGGACGGTCCTGGAATGGTTACGGGTAACGGCAGGGTGTTCTATAAGGGGCCGCGGTTTTGGAGTAATGAACAGTAAGCAATGTTAATAACGGGGTCGGTTGTAAAAGCACTATATTTCTGGTCTAAGTATACCTGCAATCTCTGGAACATCCTAGCGTCTTCCTTGGTGATAGATGCGACCGGAATTTTGGTTACCCCATCTTCGTAAGCTTGAGCACCCGTATGCAAAGTCGACATTGAATACGGTGTGACTGACCTTACGAGGGCGGCTACTGCTCCCAGTTTGGACGCTTGCGAAGCACCTGCGCGAGGTTGGTACCTTAGCGTGGGAAAGGGGGAGGGGTGGCGTGGGTTTACCTTGGGACCTATACCTCACGGTGTTGCCGTAAGTGCTGTACTCCTCATTAAACACGACGATCTTGCCTTTGACCGCTTGGGAAAAATTTTGTTGAAGTAGCTCGTCGAAGGTTCGAACCACCACCACTTCGGCTTCTATGCCGTCCGAGGGTGTGCTTACTGACGAACCCAACCCTAAAACGGGAATCTTCGCGCGTCTTGGCTCGAGAAGTTCTGCCGATTCCGACACTCTACACCAAAATAAAAAGCTATTACTCACTATATTCTACTTCAATATATGTAATTTTTAGACAATATAGCCAGAATTAGTTTAAATTATACTGTTAACATTTTGTACTATATGTGCAATCAGTGGCGGGCTAGGCGGACAGTGCCCGGGGCATTCAAGCTCATGGGACCTTCGAATCCTTGTCCGAAATCTCGATCGAACTGAACTGTTGGAAATTTCTCCGATTTTCGTAATAAATATGACAGGTTGCAACCCCACTTTAATCATGACAACTTAGTTGAGAGACATTCAAAAGCTATGCTAAATTCTTTCTGTAGGTTGGCAATTTGACGGATATGTGCATTTTATGATGCATATAGTTAAGATTTTTTTTTGAGAACGGTTAAAAAATTATAATTATATATTAAAATTGTGATTCAACAGAACTAAATTTGTAGGGTACGATAATATTCTAATTTGAACCAAATTATGCCAATTCTGATACGGCATTTGGGAGACCATGATAAGTGGCCTTATCAAACAATTTTGATGCAGTCGCGATAAGGCCCTGTAAACGTAAGTATATATTTCATCATTCAGGAAAATAGTAAAAACAATCATTTCCTACATTCTGTGGTCTAACTAGATAAACCTGGCTAGTAGACTCTCTAAAATATAACAAAGTGAATGTACCTTTCCCAGTGTGGTACCTGGACTTCTTCCCCGTGGACGTTCTCCAGGTTATTCTGTTTCATCAGATCCAGCACGTAATCGATTGCGTCTTCCAAGTTCTGCGTTCCAGATAACCTGGCGCCGAACTTATCAACGAATTTTGCCAGCTCATTGTAAGTCGCCCCCTAAAAGAACACCTAAAACACGTTCATCTAAAGCGGGAAGATAGTTGTACCTTGAATATCCCGTTCGTAAGGGAATTGATAATCTTATCGGTCGTGGGTTTGTAAGCACGGATCTCTTCGAGGAGCGATTCCGGTAAGTCGCAATCATCGTCGACGGTGTTGTCCTGGACTCCTCCATAGGCCAGACACCCGAAGGTCAGCACTATCGTCGCCGCTGTCAGTGCTCGCATTTCCCCAAATTCGAACGGGTTTGTAGCCGGAATCGAAATTTCCGCGTAGCTTTTATTCTTGAAGATAACCTATTGACTTTATCGGATTTGGTGTGACGATACCGGGCGCACCAAATAATCTGATGCTGACGCAAATAGCGCAGAGGGTCGATTGCGAAACAATTCGGAGCATTGGTATAACGAATCGCGCCCTTTTATGTGAATTTAAATCTGCCCTAAATTTCCGTCGAATTTTCCTTATTCCTACCAACGGCACTGTTATTACCTATTCCACGCGGTATTAAATATCATATCTTGGATCTTTTTGCGTTCTTTCGTTGTCATTTTGCTACATTGTCTGAAATATTATCTAATCTTGCCAAAATCGCCAGCCAATCTTTGAAGTACAAAATTGTGCGTCAAATCTTATTTAAATTTAATCAACTCTCAACTAAATAATTGAATATACTTTTTCTAAAAATCGCGATAAACGATTAACATTATACCGTAGATATTTTTACTTCCAGGCTAATTAACTTTGCGGTCTTAAGATGTCTAAAATATACTTCTAGACAGGGCCAGCACAACACGCAAACATTAATTACGTCACAATATCAACTTTAAGTAGGTATAAGTCAATTGTTATTACAATTTTTAAGCCGACCCTGCACCCGCTTTAAAACAAAAAACCGTCGAAGCCAAAGCTTATATAGCGCTCAATCGAGTATAAAAACGATACGATCTGGAAACCCACCAAAAGTACAAAAGTTTCTTGGACTTTCTTGAAGTTTTAAAATATCATAATTTTGTTGATACAGGGTGTCCTGAAAGTGTCCCCCGACATAAACATTGTTATTTTAAATAGTACACCCTATATATTTCGTCATTTTTGGAATCCTTGGTTAAAATAAAGGTCACTTTCTTAAGAAATTGTTGTTCAAATTTTGTATAGGTTGTAGTTTATCTTATATTTAAATTTTGCTTACTTTTTGAGATATTCGAGGTTTAGGATAGCACCCGTATAAATTATTGTTGAATTTAAAGCTGCCCATATTTTTTAAATAGCAAAGACATGATCCTACTTCTTTTAAAGATATAGAAATTTTGAAAAAAATCGAGTCTATAGTACACACTTTAACAAATTTAATAAAACTTCAAAATTCATATTTAAAGAAAAATTCAATATTTAATTATCGAGCTTGATTGAAAATACCTAATAACAAAAGTAAATAATTAAAGTTTATAGGCTACCTAAACAAGGTAATAAATTTCAATAAATAAATCAATGAAACAAAAAATTAACTAAACACAGTTTGTTAATTCGGTGCATAAAGTTTAGTTAAAAATGTTCCCCTTATAATGCTGGTTTCATCTGGCATCACAACAATAAATAAATATCAAAATATTTAAAAATGTAGTTAGCTATGATATCACACGTCACATTTTTTTTTGACGCATTGCTGTTTGTTTTTTTTGTTTTTTTATTTGTATTTTATATAATTTATTGATTTTTGGGGGGGGACACTTTTGAGACATCGTGTATCAACAAAATTACAACATTGCAAATCTTCAGGGGAGTCCAAAAAACTTTTGTGCGAACCTCTTTTTCTCATATCCCAGGAGTTTATAGTGGATCGTTTTATTTGACACACGGTGTACATTATAATATTTCCTACGAATAATTGTGCTGTAAACTCAAAATAAAAATCAGTCCATACGTGCCTGGAAATATTTTCAAGCCAACCCTGCACCCACTAACTGCAAACCTGGCCGATGAGGTTCAATCAGGTGCCAACGATATAATATAAACTATACCACACTGGTACGTCATGAACGTCAATTTCTTCCAAAAAGTTTCTCTAGCGTCAATAGCGATACCGGCGGGCTTCGCGGCTCCAAGGTTAACAACACCTGTTTCAGATCGATATTTCACACGCAAACGCCGGCCGACCAAAGCATCCTTCAATCTCAGCGAAACTATTCCTCTGGTTAGGCTCTCGTGCAGTAGATGTCTCTGTCCGCCTCGATAAACATAAATTCACCAACTCCAAATAGAGCGCAAAATATTTTTTATTCATATATAGTTTTTCGAGTTACGGATAATATTTTACTTATTTGGTCAGTCTCGTTCTTTGGGAAACTCCAAGCGCAGATCAGCAATGACGTAGGCTACGGACGTCCAAACCGCCGTCGCCTTGTCCATCGCGTCCCTATCCATCACGTCCATCGTGTCGGCTTCGTTGTGCTGGAACCAGTACCACCTATCGTTCTCGTTCAACAAGCTCGCACCCGGGAGCAGAGATTTCGTCCACAGGGAGATGTCGGAACCCACGTTGTCCACGCGTACCGCCTTGGTAGCATTCAGCGGTGCCAGTAGCCTAGGAAACCACAAAAATAACCGCGACCACACCCGACGCGCCAAGTATACTTTAGAATTTCTTGCAGTACGCATCCACCTCTTGTACCTGCCGTGTAAGACAACCCTAGCGGGTTCCAAGTGCCTTCGTCGGACTCCATTACGAACACGAAATCATCTAGTTCGTCCAGGTGCGCCTCGTTGTAGTCGTTCACGCCGCAGTAGCACTGCTCCTCGCCGGTGAAGAGTATCGTTCTGCAATCGATATATTCTACCCTCTTAATCGACAAGGCTGCCTCAATCTGACCTCAAAGTTCGCCTGGGTCTGAGCCCTAACGCTTTCAATACCACCAAAGAATACACAGACATGAAAACGCCGCCACCGTCGTCCATCGCTCCTAAGCCGACGTCCCAGCTATCGGTGTGGGCGGACACGACGACTACCTTATTCGGTTCTGTGAGACCCACTACTTCTCCCACGGCATTTCTAGATGTGGAGTTGTCTAAAGACTCGGTGCTGATTTGCAGCCTCATAACAATCCGTTCTCCTCGGTCCTATACATCTTTCTTCTTTTGTTTTTTTGGGTACTTATGCAGTCGGGGCGACATACCTGCATTCTTTGCATCATCTGAGCGTCTTCCTTCGTGATAGACGCCGCAGGAATTTTCGTAACATTGTTTCGGTAAGTCTGCTGGCCCGTATACAAGCCGTACATGGAGAACGGGGTGAGAGCTCTAACCAACGCAGCCACGGCCCCTTTCTTCGACGCTTCCGTAGCCCCGTTGCTTCTGTACATGTAGTCGTGGTCGTAGCCATTGAACTCCTGAAACATCGAAGGTAGTCCCGTCGCTATATCGTGTTTTCAAGCATCACCTGATTGATAACAACGATTTTCCCGGTAAAATTGCCACGGTCCAACTCTGCGAAAGACCGAACTACAGCCACCTCGGCTTCCAGACCTCCGACGGGGGTGCTTACGGAGCTACCCAATGCCGTTAAGGCGATACTCTTGGATCTAGGTTCGGTTAACTCCCCAGCCTCCAGTAGCCTATGTGCAAAAGTCTGTTACTGAAATCGTTAGAACTTATTGCTCATTTCACTACGCCTACGGGCCTGTTGCGTGTAAACAAAATGGCGACAACGCGAACATCTATGTCTTTCAGTTGATTCCAGTATGTCCCTTTTATAAGATAACTGTTTGGGAAAATTCGGAGAGTGTAGATTTTAATTTCAAAAGAAAGCCAATTCGACGATTTTGTCCTTGAGGGGCCCATTGCATTTTTGCAAATATCTCGCGCCCTGTATGATTGACAAAACCGGAAACTCTCTCGACACAGTTTAGGATACTGTTCAAATCAAATTATCCCATCTTTAGCAGTTTTTCATTTATCGCCAATAATTCACCCACAAAAACGGTAATTTTAAAAAACTTTTAGATTTTCTGCCAATAATCGACACATCCTGTATATAATTCAAACAATGTTCGAAATAGGGGTGATAGCCCTGGATCTCCCACGTTTCCTGGTGAATGATACGCCGTAATAATCAATGACGTCATCGCGTCTCGATTGAGGGCGAGAAATTGTGATTTTCATTTTAATTTTTTCAAATATCTCGAACCGTAACTACAAAAATTGTAGCTCTCGATGTGGCTTATTACACTGTTTATATTTATCACGAATTTTGATTTTCGTCTAATAATTTTTTGTCCATAATAGAAAAACCCTGTATACAATCGAACAAATGTCGGATGCGGGCATTTCCTGGTTTTAAAATTTTGCTAATCGGTTGAATAGTTTTTGTGAAAATCATGTTTTTCTGTAAGTCAAAGTATTCAAAGACAATTTTTCAAAACTTTTAAAAACATATTTGATGATACTTGATTACGCTCAAATTCTACTGCCAAATTTAAAATCGATTACCTATTTGGGTCACTTCTGACGTTTTTGAATATAGAACGGAATATCCCGAACAGTATGTGAAAACTTTAAATATAAAAGTTTTAGGTTTCCATACGGGCTATGTAAAAAAAACTGGCAACAGAATCACATACTTCTTGTTATGGTCAATTATCATTACAAAGGGAGACCAATTTTCAGTTTTTTTCAAATTACCGACGCACCCTGTACATTTTTAAAAAATCATCGAGAATAAAGGTTTTTGATCCGGATCGTTTGGTTAAAGAAATGATTTTTTTCGTATATGATATATGATAGACGAAACCCACAAATACAAGCCATATTTTTTACAAATTTTAATTTGCGGCTAATAATTTCCTCTGGAAAAATACAATTTTCAGGCCCTTTTAGATTTTTGTCCACAATTGAAAAACCCTGTATATAATCGAAAAAATGTGCGAAAGTTATAGTGATAGATCTTCCGCGGCTGCAGGTTAGAGAATTTTGCGGATAGAGAATAATTTTTTGCTGGAAACGAAAATAACCAAAAAAAAATCAAAATTTTTAAAAACATACTGTGCGCTATTTGATTGTGCCAAAATGTAATAGCTTAAAAGCGGACCCGAAATCCAACTTCTCTGCCGATCTGAAGTCGGTAGCTCAAACTCAGGGCACCCGTTACTTTTTTAAAAATTGCACGGAATATCGCGAACACCCTGTACAATAGACATCTTCCGCTTCCCATCCTTTCCTGAGAATTTCTCCTTAGTTTTTGTGTTTTTATTTATTGTCTTAACAAGATTCGAGAAAAGATAAGTGGCACTTGTGTATATTGAGTGTTTTCGATTTACCGTTACTTTTCTGTAAATTTTAGGTCGTTATCGTCAATGTTTACGTCGATTCGGAGTTGATGACTGCAGGGGTTCTGAAATGTTATCGAAAAAAAAAACTGAAAAATCATACACCAAGAAGGGCACGGGCTCAGACATACTGCCTTGCAGCGCCCCCATTGTTATTTAAAACTGTCTGGCGTCTTATTAATAACTAGGGCTTCTAGAAGTATTTTTTTTACCTATTCCAACGAGTTACTGTCACTTCTTCCCCGTTGACGTTTTCCAAGTCGTTTTTTCGCATCAACTCTAGAAGATAGTCTATGGCGTCTTCCAAGTTTTGCGTACCCGTTAATCTCGAGCCGAATTTGTCGATGAAGTGCGCAAGCTCGTCGTAGGCTCGGCCCTAGTTGAGCTCGAATTTGTTTAGGATATACTAAAGAATCACGCTCCCAACATTTCTGAAACGGACCCTACCTTGAAATCGCCTTGGGTTAGAGTATCCACGATTTTATCCACGATCGGCTGGTAGGAGTGTATCTCTCGCACAAGATCGAAATCCAAATCGCAAGTGGGGTCGACGGATTTGGCGATCGTCGCTACGGACACCAACCAAAGTAGGGCCAGCTGCATCGTTGTCGCTTGATCTATTTAATACTATTTAGTACTCGAAGAACGCGGCGGGAGATATGAGTTGTGAAACGATAGCGATATGCAGATGGTGACGATAAGGGAAATCCCCATCATTTCGAAACTCACTCACCAAGATTTCTAAACCTTCCATCTAGCGGTTTGTTCGATATTTGCAAGACAGAATTTGTATGTTTAACTTACAGGGTGTTGCGCCTGTAGGGGTAAGAAAAAGCGAACATTTTATGAAAAATCCTTTGTTATCCTTATGAGTTCTACGATCTGGATATTTTATAACATAACTTTCTGCATAGGGGACTTCAATTATCTAACATTTAAGCATTCAGCCAATATTAAAGCATATTGTCACCACCATCACCTTTAACAGAAGGACCAGCCGTCAGAGAGTCAGCCAGAGGAAATGTCGGTAAATCGCCAAATTTCTGAATGTATATAATTTTGGTAGGTTGATTGCAAAAATTATATGCATTTATTTGTATCACGTAATGTTTTTTGCAAATATTAAAGGAAAAAAAAACGATATTTCTAAAATAATTTATTTTTTATTTGGCTGCGTTTTTAAGGGCATCTGACTTGATATCGCCGTTCCATTTCCTTAATGTTTTGGCGAAACCTCTCTCCCTGTTCTTCGCTATCTACTCCAAGATGTTCAGGAAAATAGTTCAAGTGTGAAAACAGGAAATGGACTTTCAAACTCATATTGCAACCTAGACGATAAAAGTAACATATTTTGAACAATACTTTCGTAGTTTTCATGTTAAGAGTTCCCAAGAAACTTAGCAATTACTTCTTTAAATGAAACTCTTCTTTTATATTGGCATGAGATACATCTGGAAATTTGTCGCACATATATTTGAAATACGTCCATTTCTGTCTAGGGGTTTAACAAACTGCTTCATCAAGCCAAGTTTGATATGAAGAGGAAGAAGTAAAACTTTTTTGGGGTCAACTGAGGTTTCTCATAATACATTTTTGCTACCAGGCTTCAATGTTCGACTATCCCACTCACAAATAAAGAATGGAAATGGAAATCCACTGATGTTCTTTTTAGTTTATTTTCTGCAAAGAAGTCCTTTTAGAGCACGCTCACTTGAGTCAATTCTTCTATTATAAACGGCACATTTCCTGATTTTGAAACTAAGTAAGGAATATTGTTGCAATACACCAGCGGTCCTTTCTGAGTAAAATAATGACATAACTCCTTTTAGCAGTGACGCCAGATGCCAGTAAATGCTTGTCACGAAGTATGGACGCCAACAATTCGAATGCATCCTTTGGAAGGTGCAAATTCGTTCTGATTAAACATTTCTGCAATCTGGTGTGATTCTGATTCTGACAATATGACCTTTTCTAGTTTTCTTTGGGGCGGTAGGGATCGGTGCATCTGGTCCATCTGGTCGAATAGCTATACGATGACCAATACAACTAAACTGCGCAGAAGCAGGTTACAACGTTGTATCGACGCTTCTGCGCCAACTCTGATGCTTTGCAGATAAATCTAATACTATCCAGTGTTGCCAAATCACATTTAATTTTATAAAAATTATGCTTAACATGGAACAAACATATTCATGTCTTAAGTATGTATATTAATAAAATAACAAAAAAAAAAACACGCGATAGAGCAAAACTATGGCGTTTTTTTGGAAAAAGCAATCAGCTCTCAACCATCAAAAGCGCTGTCGACCTGTTCTAATTAACCAAGTTTTGTACAATGTTTGAAAGTAGTCGATCATAGGAAGACCAATTCAGTCAATCAACAAAATGATAATATTTCAATAAAGTTGCCGGAAAACAATGGATAAATATTTATTATTTTAATCTAGACCAAAACAAGGCTTTTGATCTTGAATTGGGAAATGTAAAACATATTATTGGATTTGACGAATCTTACGAAGGATATGCAATTAAATGAAACATAAGCTCTAAAGAAATTTTGAATTTGATGAACGAACGACGTGGTGTAAAAGACAACAACGAAGCATATAAGAATATTCAGAAAGAATCCGATCACAGATAAGAGAAGCAAAAGAGGTATTCTACAAAAGAAAATGCGACGAAATAGAAGCCCTTCAAGAAAAGCACGACAGCTTCAATGTCCACAAGAAAGTAAAAGAACTGGCAGGGTTAGAGAAAAAAAGACAACCGTCAATACTCACTGACCAGAATGGCAAAATTATTATGGAAATGGAAGAAAAACTAAGAACATGGAAGAATTACATAACAGAATTATTCGATGATGAGAGAGATATAAACAGAATAGTAACAGAACAAGAAAACAGTGGACCGGAAATAACTAAAGAAGAGGTCATCCATGCTATAAAAATCACAAAAGATGGAAAAGCTGCGGGGCCTGATGAGTTACCCTCTGAAATTCTCAAATTGATAGAAGAGGAAAACATACACAGTCTAACAGATCTGTTCAACACCATATACAAAACAGGTATTATACCCAGGGAATGGTTGCTATCAGCGTTCGTCACTATCCCAAAAAAACATAATGCAAGGCAATGCACGGACTTTCGAACAATCAGTCTAATGAGTCATTCGCTAAAAATATTTCTGAAAGTGATACATCACAGGATATACAAAACATTAGAACACGATATCAGCGAGACTCAATTCGGTTTCCGAGGCGGCTTAAGCACAAGAGAAGCAATATTTGCCTTGAACGTTCTCGTCCAACGATGTATGGATATGAATCAGGATCTTTATATATGTTTCATTGATTACAACAAAGCCTTCGATAGGGTCCGACACGAACAACTTATCCAGCTTCTGAAAGAGAAGAACTTAGACACCAGAGATATAAAAATTATTACGAATCTTTATTTTAATCAAAAAGCAGTGGTAAAAATAGAAGGGAATAACACCGAAGAAATAGAAATCCGTCGAGGCGTTAGGCAGGGGTGCTATCACCGATGTTATTTAACCTTTACTCAGAGGAAATAATGAAACGAGCATTGGACGATGAAACGAAAGGACTAAAAATTAACGGAGTGCCTATCAACAATATAAGATATGCGGATGATACGATCCTGATATCTACCAACCTAAACGAATTACAGATTGCAGTAGACAAAGTTAATACATCGAGTGAAGAGTTCGGACTGTCACTAAACGTAAAAAAGACAAAATTTATGATAATATCAAAAACAGCACAAAACAATTCACAAATTCATATAAATAACCACTCCATAGAAAAAGTTGACAGTTATAAATACTTTGGTACAATTGTAAATAAAAATAATGACTGCCCTGAAGAAATCAAAACTAGAATAGGACAGGCGAGAACAACATTTGTGAAAATGAAAAGAGTGCTCTGTGGCAGCGATCTCAGCTTGGATTTAAAAATCAGAATGGTGCGATGCTATGTTTTGTCGGTACTGTACTATGGTGTAGAGGCTTGGACTCTGAAGAAACTGGACATAAGGAAACTGGAGGCGTTCGAAATGAGGTTGTACCGTAGAATACTTAAGGTAAAATGGACCGATAAAGAGACCAACATGGAAATCCTGAAAAGGATAAAAAAGGAAAAAGAAATTATCATTACGGTAAAAAAGCGTAAACGTCAGTACCTTGGACACGTCATGAGAGGAGAAAAGTACCAACTACTCCAACTGATATTACAAGGAAAAATTCAAGGGAAGAGAAGTGTAGGAAGAAGGCGTCACTCATGGATGAGAAACTTACGTGACTGGTTCGGGTGCACCACAAACCAACTATTTCGGTCGGCTGTGTCACGAATACGAATAGCACTGATGATTGCCAACCTTCGCAACGAAGACGGCACTTAAAGAAGAAGAAGAAGCTCTAAAGATCTTTCATCAGTAATGCAATATTTTCTTCCTTGAAGGAGCCTTAAACAGGAGAGTATCTTTTCCCCGATTCTATCCTGTATATTTATTTGTAATGTCCAGAAGGTCTCGAAATGTTGTCTGTCGCATTTGTACGGCGATAGTATTCAAAAGTATTTTACATTTAAAATAGAAAATGTTAATAAACTCTGATCTTGAAAGCTGTTTGCTTATTTGTATATTTCCAAAACACGCAATATTTTTGCTCTATAGTGTCATTTTTTTATGGCGCTCTATATATTAAAAATGTTATTTCATTAATATACATACCTATGACATGAATATGTATGGTTCATGATAGGCGTGTTTTTTAAATAAATTGATTTTAATGAAATTAATTGTTATTTGGCAACACTGGACAATATTAGATTTCTCTGCAAAGCAACAGAGTTGGCGCAGAAGCGTCAATACAGCGTTGTAAGCTGCTTATGCGCAGTTTGGTTTCTATTGGTTGTCGTGCTGCCGCGTTCACGGCTGTTGTCTTCGTTGTTGCGTATTTCTAGTTGTGCGAGCAGTCCAAATAACTGTGGTAGTTATGTCGTAGTATAGCAAAGGCAAATCATAACTTCTTTAGAGTAAAAATTGGCGACCAAGACAAGTCCTGGAATTTTTTGCGTTTGGGCTGAAGTATAACTGACAAAAAGGTAGAAAGAAGAGTTTAAGCATAGGAGTTCCTATGGTATGGCGAGAGTCCAGGAATGTTCAAGGATTAAACAGAAAAAATAAGAAACAAATTTTGTATCTTGACTCTCCTATTCGAACAGTTCCTCGTGGACCAGACATACCGGTATCTATCGCACCAAAAGAACTGGAAAACGTCATATCGTGAGAATCAGAGGAATCTAATTCCGACCCAGATGACTCAGATTTCACACCAGATTGTAAAGAGCCGGAAGCGGGAACCAGAGCGAATTAAATGATCGTGACAAGCATTTACTGGCACCTGGCACAGTCAATATTTCACCCTGAAAGGACCGCTAGTGAATTGCGACTGGATTTTTCGGTAAAATCTTCTCACAAAAAAAAAGACTTATTATCTGGCTGAATTGAAATTTACTCTTCTGTGAGCGTAGAACTTATTAATTCCAAGATGGCGCTGCGTTTTATACTTTTTCATCATTTGACGGATGCAGTTAATATTTTTCTACGCCGTTGGGTGGACGAAAACGCGTAAGTATTTCCAATGTTATATTTTTTAAAAGACAAAATATTACAATAAACTATATATAATAAAAGTACCTGATTCTTAACCTAAATAAAACTATACAATTGTTTTTAAAAATCAATTAGAATCTTTTTTTAGTGGCTAAAAATAGGTATTTTGCTGCGATATAATAAAAATCTAGTCTCTATATTTACAAACGAAAAAAAAAAACTGTTACATCTGTGTATCACCGACGAATATTTTTGTTTTGTCTCTCTTCGTTAAATACGGTTTAGCGTGTTTTGACAGGACATTGATTTCTTCTTGCGCGCGCGGACATGCAGCGCCGCCGCGGCTCCACAATGAACTATTATCTAAAGGGGTGACATTCAAGCACGTATATCACATCGTTTGGACGTTGTTTTGAACAGTAACACGTACACGTACGCACGTTATGAGAACAACATTACATTGAAAACGGCTGGGCACATATATATATAGATTCTCTTTTACACTTACGAAAAATTATGTTCCCTAAACCTAGAAAACGTTAACGGTTACTCATTTTGTGGTTCGTATAAAAAATTTTTTTCACTGAGTAAAACACCTGATTCTGTTCTGAGCTATTTAGGTTCCGCAAAAAGACACATTCATTTTTAGGTACACGTTTTTTTTTTGTATCGATCAATGTATATATGTATATACGAAACAACTAAAAACAAATATACACATCACAGAAGGTTACAAGATTTTTTTACAAACGTGAAAGGAAAGCCGGCCCTCGCTGGTTTACATATTTCGAAAAATTAAAATAAATACTATACAAAATGTACACCTAACCGTACTAAATTACATGTGAAAATTAAAAAACGGCCCCCGCCCGCCCCGCAAATAAGTACGCGCGGTTTATTTACAAAAATTTGTGCCAGTGTACATTTTTGTGAGATCAAACAAACGAAAAACAAAAAAAAAATGAAACCGGACAGATAGATGAAGAAAAATGCATTTCGAGAGAGCTAATATCCTTATTGACCTATCATTTTTTATTATTCTAGGCACCTTACAGTCTCATTTGCCTTTTTTTTTTCTTGTATATAAAAGCACCGCTTCAAAAACATCGCCATGCCAATGGCCGTATAAAAAATCAGCCCGGGACGCCTCGAGTGGAAACCGTAGTGATGAACTTATAAAGGCACAATGATTTACATATTTTTTGTATAGTTTTTTTCATATTGCTCACGTAAAATTTGAAGACATTAACTAGGGGGGGTGTGAAAAATTAAATTTTGGTAAGGAATATAAATTCTGTTTGTCCAAATCTGTTGCGTAGTTTGTTGTTGAACCGAACTTGCTGACGTTCCGCCAATCATCCCGGTGGCGTCTTCAGAGCTGATGAAGTCGACAGGATGATTGGCGAAACGTTAGCCAGGACGAATCCAAAAGCCAGTGGAAGTTTCTTTGAAAAATTAACAAGCGTGGGAACTATTTTCGCCAGTTTTGCGGATTCGAGAAAAACATTTCGATAAAAAAAAAGCATAAAAGTGGTAATTGAACTCAGTTGCTTTGTCTACAGTATTTAATTTTGGTAGTTTCAGCTAAATAAATAAATAATAGACAACCTTTATTTCCCATTTTTGCTGGCCCTATTCGAGCATTCGGAATTGAAGGGAAAAATGTCAATAAAAACGTAAAAATTAGAAAAACCTTTAAAGACTGTATTCCAGAAATCCATCCCCACTCGACGCTAGTTATTTGTTTCTCGCGTCAGCAACTATATTTAAAAGTTCCGCCGAGACGCCCCGCTGCCGGCAGACGACAACGCCCTATTATAATTTCCAAGTCGCTTCGCAAAATATAACTCTTATCACATTTCGTATCAGTATTCTCGATAATTTTTTTAAGATGATAATATATCTATATATTCCTGCGCGCCTCCTCCGACTTCGTCGCGAAACATTTTTAACAAATTCGCCTATATTTCTCGTTAACATTTCACAACGGTTCGCAAAAGAAAAACTCCCAATAAAATCAACGATTAATTAAAACCCCCGCGGTAGGCGGCCACGCGCGCACGCTGGTCCAACTCGCACCGGGAGAACCATAACCCTTAAAATATAACTCACTCGACCACGACCGTTCCAGATGCAGCTGAATAAAAAAAAATCAGTCCCGCTACTACCCGCCCCGTGTATTGAGATCTCGATCAATGAAAAAGTACGCTTCGTTGTTTGCAAAACCCCGCACACCTCGAGTCCTTGTACTATCGGCAAGTGGGTGGGACCCCACCTAGAAGGAATCTGGACGCGAGTACGACGACGTTCACGCCGCACCCGTGCAATCGATCTCGACGATGTCCTTGGGCACCTCGACGAACTGGTAGACCAACCTCTGTCCGTCCACCTTGGCCAAAATGCCCCTTTGGTAGTAGTACCTCAACGCTCTCCCCATCGTCTCGTAGTTCATGTCCGGTTTGTTCTTGTGCATGCCCCACAGCCTCGACACCGCTTTCGAATCGACCAGCTTGAACACGCCCTTTTCCCTGTTCGTCCACTTGATGTACCTCGGACAGTACTCCCTGTCCTGGAGGAGCTTGAGCAAAAATTCCCAGAGGTAGGTGGTCGAACCTTCCCTGCTCTTCCTCTTCACCGCGCCCGGTTCGCCCATCTTTTGTTTCTTCACTTTCTTCAGTTTCCGCGGCGAGAAACCCAACAGGTAGGGATCGTCGTATACGCTGGAGGTCGCCGCCTGGATCACCGACGTAGGGATCGAGTGTCGCATCGGCGGCGGCGACGGCGGCGACGGCGTCGTAAACGGCGACGCGTTCGGGTGATGGTGGTGGTGCATGTTGTGGTGGGTTTGCTGCGCGTGGTGGTGCTGCTGCAGAAGGTAGTTTTGGTACGGGTCCAGATCTGAAACGAAAGGAAAAACAAGTCACATGGTTTCCAATATGAACCTTACCCTGATGGTGTATATGTGAACTCACATAACTCACAACATTTTAAAAGCTCTCCTACGTGTCTTTTCAATGGATTTATCGAATACCTGGGAAAACGTCAGATTCTTTTGTGATTGCGAAATAATTATAATTAATTTTAGAGCATTTGATTATTGGAATTTAATATCTGGGACAACGAACGCTTCATTATTGGGGGTAGTTTTATACCTTCAGGCGATTGAGCAATAAATCATTTTGCAGCTCTTCAATGGTATAATTGAATATCTGGGGCAAGGTCAGATTTTTCGAGAATGCTAACTTAACATAACATAATTTTCTCGGGTTACGTATCCCTAATTAGATTTAATTTTTATAAGGAAATTATAGTACAGACCAAATGGTTGTTCCAATGGCATTGTATTAAACACAAAAGTGTAAATAAATATTGTACAAGGTGTTTTCTAATTGAATGTTAATAATTAAGAGTGCGTCTTAACTTTTGAGATGATGGTAAAGTTTTTAAAAATATTTTTTGTTAATATTTGCAATACCACTGTAAATATTTTAATCAAGAGGTATTATTTCTTTTCAATACACCAGTGGTGGGCATACGGAATTTCACCCGTCTATTTTGGCAGACATTGATGGTGCGCCACTGATTTTTCTTACAATACAAATTGTTCCTACAATCTCTGATCATTTCTAAGGAAATTTCATTTCTTCATTCTTTTCAATCCACATTCCGCTTAAAAAATAAAAACCTCTTCTTTGCATGGTCCTAACAATATCGTTAATATGACAGCATGCAAAGAAATTAGTTTTCATTTTTAAGTGAAAACCGTGAAACGAACTAATAAAAATTAAGAGATCAAGTCTGCTCATAAATGAATGCAAATATCTTTTTTTTTAAGGAAATCAGTGGCGTGCCACGACTGATGATGAACAATTAATATTTTCGTTAAGTAGGTCACCTGGTCACTGGTCAAATCAGATAAAAAATTAGAAGACTTTTTTACTTTTACACTTCGAATGAAATTAATAATAATAATAAACGATTCTTGTTTAAATTAACGATAACGATTGACGGCTTTTTATTTTTTTGGATTGAACAAATCAAAAAAATGAATTTCTTTAGAAATGTTTGCAGATTGTAAGAAAATATTTTATATTTTAAGAGAACTGGCCTACCATCAATATCTGCCAAAATAGACAGGGGAAATTTTGTACGCCCGCCACTGGCGTATTTTTTTAAAAATGTGATACGTTCAATTAGAAAACACCCTGTATTAGACACATACGGACAAGCCTACATTCAACAACTTATTTAATAACGATTATAAGTCGTAGCACGATATTTTGAGAGAGGCTTTGTTTTATTTTATTTCCTTCTGTTTTTTTATTATAAAAAAGTTATAAATTATTAATTTTTCGAAAAAAAAAGTAAAATCTCAGAGTGCGGCACAGTAGAGTGAATAGGATCTGGAAAATTTAAAAATAATTTATAATAATAATATAACATTTTTTGATTGTAAATTTAATTTTGTTTTTGTGTTTTATTTAGTGAACTAGCAACTTTGTGGAAAGCTAAAAATCTCGTGGTCTTGAGAAAAAAAAGCAGCGATGAGTAACTTTGAGTCATTATGGTACGAGTAGGTAAAAACCAGGGAAAGAAAAAAAAAACAGCGACGATGCATCCGTCGAGATGCGGTTTTTGTAGCAAGGCGATTTCCCTGCCACTTTCGTTTCGTAGAGAGTAAGCCGTAACAAGTGAAACTCTTCCGTTACATATAGATTTCCTGCGTTTTATCGCTTTCCTTCGCGTACGTTCGGTTTTGGTCGTTTTTTTTTTCTTTCATTTTATCCAACTACGGTTGATCGATAGGCCGCCGGTTGGACTCGGCGCCAGATATACGGGCGCTGCAAAAATAACCGATGTATTCCTCTATTTTTCGTCGTTCTTCCTCTTTCCTCGCGGTCCGGCCTTCTTCGATTAATTGGCGTTCTCCGCGGAGAAACAAGTGTAAATCGGCAATTTCCGGCGGAGGATATATCTGTACACGCACGAGATTGCCGTCCAGAAGGCCAATGCAGTGGCGCGCGCTCTACACCAATGCAATTTAAAGTGTGATTTGAAGCCCGAAGCTTAAGAAATTCGCAAAGTCCACATCCGCTTGGCAAACGTATACTGCATTTGCCTGATTCTTCTCCTTGAAGTGCCATATCTGTTTTTTACTAAATGTTAGCTATCATGTTGGCTATCAATACCTTATTTACCGGTGTCCTGAACAGCGTATCAGCAGAATGTCCGAACCACTATCGTAGGTTTTTCCGCCTAGATGTTCTTCTTCTCCCTGGACCTCGTCTTCCCTCACTTATCCTCAATATACGCCTGTACACCTACATATCAAAAGCTTCCAGTTTTTTTAAGGCAGTCTCTGTGACAGTCCAATATTCTACTCCATACAACAGGATTGGGAACACGTAACATCGGACCAATCTCATTCTGAGCTCAATTTTAAGTTCGTCTCCGTGCACCACGTTCCTCAGCCTTGCTCTTGCTTGTTCAATTGTGGATTTTACTCCCACTGAACGGTCCCCCGTACGTCGCTTAATAATTGTCCCAGATATTTAATCCAAGTTTATTTTGACCGATCCACAGTACTACTTGATCTAGGAGTTTTTGAAGTCCTTTAGTTATTATCTGCCAGTAGAACGGAATCATTTATTTTTATTTATATTTGACAGGTTACGCTAAATAATTTTCGTAGATAGAATTTCTCGCCTAACCGACGGCTCCAATCATATTCGGCCGCTCTCGCTGGCAAATCCGTGGAACGAAGCGTCCGCCCTTTCCCAGTTCTCCTGCACGCGATTGGACGAGACGTCACGAGGGCGTGGTCCACCAAAGCCACCGTCGATCAAAACGCGCCGCCTCCGTCACTGATCGAAACTCCGAAAGGAAAAACGGCCGGGGAAAAAAAGGGACCCGGTTTGCGCTGGTAAAAGCGCTTGGAGAAGACGCTCGCGTAGTACCGCACAAGGCCACGCGTCCGCGCATGCGCACAGTATATAATTATATCACTGCAAGTGCAATCCGGGAAGGGGCTGAGCACGATCGGCGGCGGGGACGCGGAGCGGGACGGATCTGCTACCGCCGGGGTAGTTGAACCACTCAAGGTCCCCAAGACAGACGGCTTCGGATGCATTATGCACGCGAAAACGGCGCCGCGTTGCCAAACGGCCTTTTCTTAAATGCTTTTCGACCGGCTTACTTGAACCGCGCCAGATTTCTTTTTCTTTTTCTCGTTCCTTTTCCTAACGCAGGTTGGATATTATCATGGCCATCCTAATCTTGAATAGTTTGTTTGACGTCATTTTGAGCCAAGAGGTTCTTCTTGTCCCTTGACTCTTTCTGCCCTTGATCTTTCGTTCCATAATGTTCTGTAGCATCGCACGTTTAGGTCCTCTGATCACGTGGCCAAAGTATTCCGATTCTCTTCTTTTTAGAGAGTTCGTTATTTCCTCCTGATTCTCTGTAATAGTTCCAGATTGGAGACCCTGTCGGTCCATTCAACATTCGCCAATAACACCATATTTCAAAGCCCCCGATGCCTCTGACTCTAAAAGTAATTTAGAAAACACGTAGCATCCAAGCATTCTTATTCTTATCTCTGCTGCAATGAAACTTTTTGATTTTTACAAATGCACTTCTGGCTACCTCTATGCGATTTTTGATTTCACGTTGTATTTTCTTAGTCTTTCTATCGTTGTGCTGTCTATAGTAAGAATTCCGTTAACATTTACTTTCTTCATTCATGTTTAGTCCATATCTATCACATGTATCATTGCATATACAACAAGGTTTGCAGATCTTCAAGCTTGTCTGTAACTATAATGGTGTCGTCCGCATAACGTACGTTGATTAAAATCTGTCCGTTTGTGGTTAGACCCTCCTGTCATTCATCCATAGTTTCGCTGAAAATTTCCTCACTAAATACGAATACAGCCCTGAGCATCTGTAAGCTGATCTTCAAATCTGATTTTTGCTGTTTGGTTCCAGTAAAGAGTCGCTATGATTCTGATGTCCCGACTACCAATATTGGTGTTCTGCAATATTTCTATAAGTTTTTGGTGTTGGACGCCTTTTCAAAATCATCAAAACAGGCGTAGACATCTTGGTGCAACGCCAGATTTCAGTCCTATTAAATTCCCTCACCCTCACTCGCCTCCTTCTTTGCGGACTGATAGACCTTACCCCTTTTGTTCATCTGCATCAATTCATTCGGACAATGCCTAAAGTTACTACTTCAATATTCTCCCTGTTTGTCCACTCTGGAGGAATCAATGTTTCGCATCTGCTGCGCCATGACCTCAGCCAAAATACTAAAGCCAAAGTGGCAAAACGGCAACGCCGTGCTAGTGCAATCGAAAGGGAATTATCTGCACGTAGTATTGTTATATCCAGGCGATCGTTCGGCGAAATGAGGACGGCGACATACAAGGTCACTGGAGTAAAATAAGGAATACTTTCTTATCGCTTCGATGTAATACAAACGAGAGGCTTTTTTTGTACGTACGGAAACTTTCCTCCCTCTCGAGTCCATTCATAATTTTTCGAACAATGGACCGTCAAGTGTGTTTATTGATTCATGTCCGTTATTTTTTTTTTTCATGTCGATAACGGCGAGGATGTTCTGCGACATTTAAGTCGTATTATCCGACCAAGAAATGTCGGCGTTTCTGATAACAAAGATTTCCCGTTATTATGAAGTTCGTTTTGGTGATCTTCTGCAATCCTCAGACGTGCAGAAGAGCAAGCTTTGATGGATGCAATTCGGACCACGCTGTGAAAAATGCAGGTATCCGATGTTGGTCATGCCATGGGCCCAATTAATGCAGAATCACTTTTTGGATTGAACTTTATCTCCAAAAACTTGCTTTTGGTCCGTTTCCGTGTCAAAAAGTCCCTCAAAT